GCCGCAAAACACTAGAACAAAAATTTATCTTCCAAATCGGCACCCTTAATCCCCACGGTATCAACGAGCGCTTTTCATTCAACTAATTTATTCTTGTTTTCTCGTCACCATAGTCCCACCAATAGCATAGCTCCATTTTCTTCATATACATACTTACACAACCCACAGTTCCTCCAATCGCTCTGACGAAGTGCTAACGCTCGAAACTTCAGCCTTTTAGCTCTTTAGGTGGCCAATTTACGTTTTCAATTCAGTTGTTAACACTAAATTGCCTGTAGCTAAAATAGCTGTGGAGGTCTGGGTACAAGACCAACACTCGACTGCACCTCGAGTGCCACTCTTTTATTCGTGTGTGATCCACATGTGATCTATTTCTGAACAGACTCACTGTAACGGCTGCCACGCCTTTGCTACCGGACATTGATCTGTTATAAGTTTGTTTCGTGTTAAACGTGTTAAACCGCAATAGTGACGTTACTGTTTGTCCATTAGGGACGTGATCTTTAAGTTCCACCCAGAACGATAAGACGTGTTTATCGAAGGGCGCCCTTTTGCCCACCTTATCTCGAAGTTCGTTTTGGTCAAACTTTTACAAGCGGGACTGTTATGTAAGTGCTTATGTTCCTTCTCTTCGTACTTGTTTAAACATCTAGTCTTTCGGTAGTTTCGCCCAGTTTTTTATACCGCTTTCTTTGCAACCTTGTAACACGTGGCTTACGTTGTTCATGCTTTGTTAGTAAGCTGCTCGTTTTTCCCACTCGGTTATTAGTTTTGTTAGAATTCGTTTGCGCTTCTCCTTTATCCTTGAAGATAGTCTTTGGTGAGTTTGTTTTAGAGTTTTAGCTAGTCTATCGGAATGATTGGAATGTTGGTCCATATCTTAGAATTTATCTAAGCTTCTTCCTTATAATTTCATATTTCAGTTTACGATAAATACTTGGAGACCTCGACTACGCTAATAAAACGATTCAAGTCTTTTCCGTTTAATATATCCTCGCTTCATAGTGCGTCTTCACTAGCGAAACTCATAGTTGTCGTTGAAATTTTCTTCGCTTGTGTCGGCTGCTACACTCACGGCAATATGGAATCTACACATTAAATTCCTATTCAACTGCGAGGCAACTTTGAACGTGGTCACTTCTGACGATCCATGTAACGGGTGACACCTTAGTGATGGCCTTGTCGAAAGATACTTTCCGTCGGGTTGAAGTCGACCTCTGTGTTGTGTTCTTTGACAAGATACCTTGATCAAGCAGTGCCACCTGTGCACATGAGTACAATCAAGTGGAATGAAAAGCTTGAGGGGGTATGGTGCAGAAGGTTACTTAAGTGGTGCGGTATTTTTGCCCGAAGGCCGTAACCCTCCCTTCTCTTGAAAAATCCCAGTTACGCGCGTCAGGATTACCTTTAATATACCATTCTTTTATCGTTGAATAACATTAGAATGAATTCAAAGCCCTCACTTTACTGATGCTAAGGTGGATAAAAACATTACGACAAAAAGATCACTCAAGTGAAGTGTCTACAAGACGTTAAGTAAAGGTATACTTTTAAGGAGAAACCATCTATCGCAAAGTGAAGTTCCTGATAAAAATTGAAAAAGCACTCAAAAAACCAACAGATAACCAATGGTTTTTATTGGAAAAATGTCCAATGTAGAGGAACAGTTCTTTAATGGATAGACTCTGTCAATCTATAATGCAGCCGATCAGTCTAAAAGGCAATGACACCTTAACCTCAGCATGTATGTTATGTTATAGTATTTGTCTACAAATGACCAAGCTTGCCTTCACCACAAAAATGAAAAATACCATTTTCAGTTTATCATTAGTCAACTACTCTAGAACCACGGTATCAAAAAAGAAACAAAAAAAAAACTCCCCTTTCTGGCTAAAGTATCCTCAAAATGTTTTTGCGCGAAACGACAGATCATTAAAACTTACCATGCTCAAAGTCTTTAGTATGTTGTTGGAGACCGGTCACTATTGTCGCCTGAGGTGGGAGGGGAGCGGAAGATTCTAGGGGATCACGTGGTTACATTATCACGATAACGATCGTTGGGGGAGATTTGATAAATTTTATTGTGACACAACCAAAATCCACCGATCCCCACCCCACAGGTGATAAAAAATGACCGGTCCCTCTGTACTGGTTGCGTGTAGCCACCAACCTACACCCTACAAGAGATTATAAACAGTTTATAATCTCTTGCAGCCCGATAATTAAAAAACACTTAAAACAACAACAGGCTTCTATCTATTTAAAGAAAACTGTGGCTAAGTTTACGTTTTCACCACAAGAGCAAGGTAGTTATCTGTTTTTTTTCACAACAACCAGCGTTCCTGTTTTCTCTGAGAAGTTTCAGGTCTAGTACACTCAGTAACTATCGACCATCGTTATGATCGTAACCGCTGAACAGTTCGGAGGTCCGTGGTTTCTGATTTAAAATGGACAAGCATTGAAATATCCAGTTGAATTGATCGTTGCTTTACATATTTCATGCGCGATCGTAAAACAAAGCAGATGGAATTCTACAGCACAAAGTTATACTTCTGTTTCCACTAATTAACAAAATATGCAAGTCAGTCGCCTGGCCAAGAGCGTCACTTTTGCCGCGTGCAGCCCCTACTCCAGCGTGGCTCTGCGAGGTTTGTCTTCAATCAGTATTATGTCCAGGCTGTTTGGAGGCTCATTCAGCGAGCCTAAACCTAAGAAAGTTCCCAGCTACCTAAAGGTGCATGGTGTTGAAATCCAGGACGAGTTTCAGTGGTTAAAAGATCGTGGATCGAGGGTAAGCTAATATTCTTTATGTCACGTGTAGCTACTATACACTCTTGACTAACTCCATACACGCTGTTTTAAAACAAAGTTTTCACCGTTGTTTTGTTTTCTCCAAGAATATTGATATTATAGAAGTATGCATATTGTGCTACATCGTATCAATGGTTTTCCCAGGATGGGAAGGGTGGGTGGGGGAGATAGCCACCAGGTAAAACCCCTAACCCTGACCCTGGCCCCTGACCATGGCCCCCCCCCCCCCCCATCCCCCAGAATTTCATCAGGCTTCCTGACAGTTAGCCAGTACCCATTTATAATCTTCTGGTTGGAGAGACACACTATGAGAGGAAGGTGTCTCGCTTAAGAACACAACACCTGGCCAGATTTGGAACCCTGACCTCTGGATCTAGAGTCCAGTGCACTGCTCACCAAGCCAATGCATGTCCATAGGGCCATGTGGAAATCTTGCTTGAGATTACTGGAAAGCAAACAACAGCTGATTTAAATCTTAATTTGGAATTTCACTGATAGGAGCAGAACTACATCTCACAAAACAGTTTCTGTGCATCACATGTTCAGTCAGACATTCATGCAAGGAGTAGCTCTGCTTTAAACAGATGGCAAGGGCAAGATTTAAGCTGTTTTTTTTGCTTTCCCTTCGTAAATATGAGCAGCCCAATATGCACTTCTGGGAAGTTCAGGGATGGTCTCTGCAAATGCAATGTAGTTGACTTTTACTAGTCATTTACATGTACATGTACTACACCTTTGAGTGGCGTATACCTTTCTTTTCTGTTCCTAGGCTGTACGCAATTATGTCAAACAAGAAAACAGGTGAGATTTGCCGACTTTACTATATCTTCATCCTTGCACTACTGTATTGCATATATTTTATACTTTATTCATGTACATGTACAGTAGGTCTTTGTGATGAAACCCGCTTCAGGTTCAGCTGAAACAATATTTATCCCTTCTGTTTTTTTCTTTATAATTTTTCCACTTAAAAAAATACCCATTCAGGTGTTTTTTTATCATTAATTCTCTTTTGACATATGCTTATATATATATACATAGATATTGTGATGCTGTGTTGTCTGATACAGAAGCTTTCCAGGAGAATCTAACAAATGAGATGAAAGACTGGTTTCATAAACATTTTGATGATGAGTCTGTTCCAGAAGTAAGTTTACAAGTCATCAGTCTTGAAGAATTTCCTCAGAAGCACACACAGTTATTATGACTACTGGACCCTTAACATCTTCTCATTAGGATACCTATTCTCTATACTGTTCTCTGTACATTTCTGATAATACTGATAAGAAGAATTTAACTAACAGTCTAAAGCTTCTTTTGTTGGTGATCATTTCCTTTATTCTCATGACCTTAATGTTTGACTCAGGGATAATACTATAAGGAGAAATCAGATACTAGTCAATCCTAGGGTTAAAGGGTCAATGATTATAAATCCTCAAGATGATAAAAGAAGGAAAAGTCTACTTTAAAGCTATTTTACTGGTTCACACCCTGTAGAGCTTCTGTAGATTTTAGTACCCTGAGGTGAACAAAGGTATTATTTATTCCCCTGGATGCAAAGCCAGACTATGTTTATCAGGCCCTGCTATTTTTATAATGTCTTATCACCATTTCACTCTAGAGTTCTTCAATAGCCTTTCTCCTCTACAAACAAGATTTGATAAAAATGATTAATATGGTCTTATCATATATTTGAGCATACATTTCATACATTTCCAGTCAATAAAATGATATGTTAAACAATTATGAAGGAGACAAATTTATTGATCATCAACAAAAGTAATACTGAAAACTCTGGTTGAAGCCAGTTTATTCTGAATGGAAGTACTGGTTGTCTGGAATGATCTTGATTCAAGGGTGCCAGGAAAGACAGGCAGCAAATATTTATCCTTGTTTTAAAATTTGGGTTTGTGTTTCTTTTTTTTATTTCAAATTGTTATGACACTTAACTCAACCAGTTCTGTATTTTTTGGCAGGAGCTAGATGGTTATATCTATTATTTGAGCAATCCTCCCAAAGACTCTAACCTACCTGTGTATCGTAGGAGAAAAATATTAGAAGGTATTAATGTCATTAGTAATTAAACAATTTTTTATCAAATGTGTCACCAGTAAATTGATTTTGTTATAAAAATTTAATAAAGACTTTCAGTCGGTCAGTATGTCCAAAAGTTCATTGAGTGGGACAAAGGGAAAAAGATTGCTTCCTTTTGTTTGGCATTTAGTGATTCTAAGTTAGATTTCCAACCTTCTGTTAATTTCGATTTTTTTGGTTGCATTGTACTTTTCCCCTTACTTCAAGCTGGTAGCTTATGATCATGATATTTATGAGCATGATTTTCACTGTACAATAATTTCTGATCGGCTGTTAACTTTGGTTTGTAACTGATTGCCTTTTCTTTTACTTATTCAGTCAGTTATTTATGTTGTTGTTACTTTAGATGGCTCTTATGGTGACCCAGAAACAATACTAGACCAGAATGAATTAAAAGAACGATATAATTATGTTTCAATACCAAGAATTAAAATATCTCCCTCAGGAAGGGTAAGTATAGTATTTATGATAAATGTGTTAATTATATATTTGACAAACTAAACATATTTTGAATAAAGGGGGTATTAAGTTTCTAAAGAAACTGTGGTACTGCATCGGTGGGAGAGTATAGCAGGTAATTTAGTGTTAACAACTGAGTTGAAAACGTAAATTGGCCATCGTAAAGGGTAAAAAGCTGACGTTCTGAGCATTAGCCCTTCGTCAGAGTGGTTGCAGTTTATGTTTTCAACTCAGTTGTCAATACTAAATTACCTGCTAAACGTGTTTTGCTGAATTTTATGTGATGAATTCTTCGTCCATTTTCATGAAATTTCTTCAATCCTTTACTCCCCAACATCAATTCTCCCCTCTGGCTGATACACATTTCCTTGTAATTAATTTATCAAATCTTTAACTCCCAGTTCAAATTTGTTATTTTCCTTACTGTCAACCATACAATTCTTATAAAATTATTTCAGAGAATTTAGTATTGGATCAACTAATTATCCCCGAAATGATATTTTTCTTTATTCTCATCACTTATCTGGTTGATACTGTGTTGATATTGTAAGGAGAAATTCTTTCTTGGTCACACATGGGAGTTAAAGGGTTTTTAATAACAGGAATTTGGCATTAGATCAAGATAACAACTTCTTCCTGATGAGTTTGAGTATTCTCATTTAGTTGTTTGCTGGATGATGTATGGAGAAGTTACATGTTCACCACTTTTGGGAGTTAAAGGGGTGATTTATTTTGCACATTGGATTATTATTTTGAACTCTGCTTTATTTTATAATGGGCTCATTGAAGAAACAGTTTGAGGAAACAAGTGTCATGTATTCCAATCTGTTTTTATAGTACATAGGCTTTTTGCTGGACAAAAGTAATACTGGAATGTACACCTTGTTTGTCACCGAGGCACATGAAGGGATCATTAATTTTATTGATGCCATACCAAATGTTGTGAATTTTGGTGAGTTTTATGAATTTCTAAAAAGAGTCATGACTTTTATATGAAAATGATTTTATAAAATTTAATAAATAGATGCTGTTTGTTTGGCTTTGATCTTGTCTTGGTTTCAAAGAAACAGTACTCTTATGGTACAAGTAAATTGTCTTGCCTGGGAACACTGGTACAGTGACCCTTTTCTGGACTCAAACAGGGCTCATGATCCAGGATATAGTTAGGCAAAAACTAATGGCCTTCCAATTTCCCTTTGCAATATGTTTGCACTTCAGAACAAGTATTGGAAAAGGTGAGGTTTTTAACAGTAATAATAATTATGAATATTTCCTTTCAATTTTTAGAATGGGGATGCGATGACCTCACCATTTACTACAGCAGACCAGATGAACAAAATCGACCATTTGCTGTGTTAATGCACAAAACCTGTCAGAGTGTTCTAACAGATGTTGTTCTGCATGAAGAGAAAGATGAAAGGTAGGTCAAAATGATTTTTTATTGCACAGTTTTGTAATAATTCTCCTGATAAGGTTGAATACATTTATGGAAAATAACCCACTTTTACAATATCTCAATGCCGTTTTATACTGGCACTCCTCTATTGTGTGTAAAGTCCATCACTATTATTGCTGTTCTTGAACATTTCAATCGTGAGAAGTGTGATACAGTGAATGTTTTGATATTCCTTGATGAATTATGTTGGTACTTAACTAATCTTTTTCCATAGATTTATTGTTGATGTAAGTGCTACTAAAGACAGGGAATTTATTACAATCAACTGCAACTCAAGGTCAACATCTGAGGTAAGTCTGTTATTCAAGTCGGCGATGACTTAATTAAAGACATATAAACCTCCACTTATGCATCAATCTTAGCACCCAGCCTTGCCAAAAAAGTTTCAGACAACAAATTTCTTAATGTCACAAGAGTGGACATGTTTGAGCAGACCTAAATGGCCTTTGCTTCTCTTTGAGCTGCTTTGACACTGTGGATCAATATCAGTATCTGGACAACTTCCCACCTACCCCTCCCCTAACCCAACATTAACCCTAACTTGTTATCAATAGACTGTTGTTGGGTTAGGGGAGGGGTAGGTGGGTAGTTACTTGGATACTGATATTGATCCAACTCTTTTAAAATTGTTAAACAGGCTCCTGTCTGATAAACAATCTGACATTGCATGCTTAGTTGTAAAAAATAATATTTTATTTATGGTATACTTGATACAACTCTTCACTCTGAAACAGAATATACAATAACAGGCAAGGTTATTTGCCAAAGCCTGGGTTTAAACAAGCCTGTTGTATACATGTATGTTCTGGAAGAATAGCAGTACAGGGTATGTTCCTCACTCCTTCCCCCTAGCTTCTGGCAGGATCTCTTATGTAAGATCTCTTGAATTCTGCTCATCAAGTAGAGTATGAATTTAAATATTAAGTTGCAATAAACACTGGCATGTAAGTTCACTTTTCCCCAAAAAATTTCATAACTACACTTGTCTGTACATTGCAAACAACCCAACAAACAAACTAAAGATTTCCTGTTGTTTTATGTAAAAATTTCTTGAAAATCTAACAAGAATAAAGAAAAATTCGGGCACAATACCTGAGTAAGATTAAACATACTTCTAAGTTGGTGGACATTGTGCTGACTCCATACCAATTACAGCTAATATTATTGGGAAGGATTCATATTTTTTTTTAAATGTGCGTTTGATGAATTATGCAACCAAAATAAAGCAACCTTCTCACAACTCTACTTGTGATTTCTTTTGAATTCTTTTCAAAACTTTTTTTCCAAAACCTGACTCGAGGTGTGGTTCATCTCTAAGTGTAGGTTATATGCCAGTGGTTACTGAGAAAAAAAAAAAAGAGAAAGAAATCATTTAATTTGACTCACTGCATTCCTTTTTCTAGGTTAGCATTGTAGACATCAAGGATGGTTCATTTGTTTGTAAACCTCTCCACCCGAGGCAACAGGGGATGGAATACTATGTGGATCATAGAGATGATCAGTTTTATATAATAACAAATGCGGATGAAAAAAACTATCGAGTAAGTATATCCATGGCACAATAATAAAGTTTTCAATCATCCTGCAACAAAAAGTCATACAAACTTCTCTTTGTAAAGTCTGGAAGTTGTAGGGGCTGGTTAAGAGCACAGGTGACCCAAGTTATCCATCGTTAGGTTTCCTACTGCTTCTCTCATTTCATCAAGGATTTGACTGAAGATTTACTCTTATAGCTCTCTTGGTGAATTGCAGCAGGGGGGGTGGGGTGGGGTGGGGTGATACCTTCATGAATTTAACATACCATATGAAAGAAAAAGCAATTCTCAAAGGTGATTTAACTGCTAATGAAACTGAGAATTGTAAGGACTTTTCAAATGAGAGCAGTTTTGAATGTTCATGTTTTTATTTAGGTGATGGCTGCACCAAAGAGCAATCCAGCAAAGGAAAACTGGCAAACATTTATTAAAGACAAAGCAGAGGTAACAGTTAGAACATAGTTTGTTTTGTGAATTAAAAATCAATGGCTTATTAATTTGTTTGTTATTCTTACATGTGTTTGATTTGATTTTTTTCCAGAATTTCCTAGATGATATGGATATATTTCAGAACTACTGTGTGGTATATGAGAGATGTAAAACAATTCCCCAGCTCCGTGTTGTACCACTAGATACACCTCAAGATCAGTATGTAGTGCAGGTACTGTAGAAGGAATTTTAAGCTCTTAATTTTTTGTACCATCCAAATGCAATATGTTAAAATGGTGCTGAGCCAACCTTAAGGCCTTTCTGCACTCTTGAACAAAACTAGAATTGTCCCATCAAAATCAAAGGACAAATTTTGTCATGACAAATTTTTGTCAGTGGTGTGTTTGAAGATTTGTCCGCTTCTACCAAAACTTGTCAAGTTGTGACAAACCATTTGTACTCATAAAATGTTGGTGATGATAGAAAATTTTTCTTAATGAACAACTTAGGTTTGATTTTGCCACTCTCTTGTGTCTGGTGAGTATGGGCTCATATTCCTGAACAGCAGCTGGTAATTGAGCCTAAGCCAACCTAATATGTAATTTCTTTTTAATTTCCACTGATGTATCATGATTACAAAATGGCAAAATGAAAAAAAATTTAAAAAGATTAAAAAAACCATTCTTATGCACTGTGATTGAAATGATTGGATCAAGAGGCGGCAAGGAGTGAAGTGCCTTGCCAAAAATACAACTTGGTTAACTTGTAAGGGACCAACCCAGACCCACAGGGGGTCATTACAGAGCTACAAGTTACAACCGTTTTGGTTGCCATGGCAAGAGAAAAATATATTTGGCAACTGAAATTTCAAAAAAAGTTGCCAATTGGTGACTGACAGGTTTTTGAAAAAAAAAAGGAAAGAAAATGCAAAAAATTTATAAACCCTTGTCGAATTATCAAAGATTAAATGCAAACAAACTGTTTTGTAACTCCCAGATACATGTCTTGACCAAATGTTTTTTATGGCAACCATTTTACAATATTGATGGTTTCCAAAGTGCAACTTTTTGAAAAATTGAGCTTGGAGCCCTGCATTTTTATTTAATAAATTGCTAATGGGGATGTGCTGCTGGAAGGGGTTGCTTTTAATGAGACTGGATTGACTCTAATGGGGTAGCATTTTCAATAGAGTTACTAGAATGGGGTCACACATTTTTGCGATTTTGGTGGCCAAAAATTCTGGTACAGAATTCTGTATGTAGGAATTCATAAATGGGAAGATTTGCAGTTAGCAAATGTACCAGAATATTTGTACTGTATGTGAAAAGTAAAGTGGTCTACACTCAGTTTAACAAGTCCTTAAACTCAAAAAGCTTCCACAGGGAGATACATTCACAGAAAGTGACTAAATTGGAATCACAAAAATGACATTTGCCCAAAAGTGACTTAGATTGGTTCAGTCTATAAATAGTAAAAAAAAAAAATTATTATAATGTAAAATGATTGGGGTTCTAGAACAAAAATTTATATTCCAAATCGGCACTTAATACCGGAATCAACAAAGCGTTTTTCATTCAACTAATTTATTCCTGTTTTCCCCCCCCCACCAATGGGGGTCCTACATATAAATCCACACACAACCCACTTACTAATTGGCACTGAGCCCACGGTGGCTAATTTACGTTTTCAACCCTTCTAAAGTACATTGAGTCTATAAATGATTTTTTTTAAATTTTTCCCTATAGTACCTCCCTTCAGTACATGACTTGATTTTTGTTTAAATTTTTCTATATTGCAGCTTCCTGAAGATGTTTGTGTTTTAGAAGCTGGATCCAATCTGGTAATTTATGATATGTTTGTTAAAAAAATATTCTGCATATACAGGTATATTTGTGCAGATGTCCAGGAAACCATTAAAATATAATTCCTGATGGGAAATATTTTTGGCAATAATTTTCCTTTTCCTCCTAGATGTTTGATCAGGACAGTGTGCGACTAACAGTTTCCTCACCAATATTACCAGCTCAAGTCTTGGAGTATAACATGGGGACCAAGTCAATGGTACGTCGAGGTTAAAAGACAGTGTTGAATTAGCTTCTCAGCAAGAAAAACTTCAGGTCATAGGACACTAAATTAACATCACATTACATTGATAAAGATTGCTGTAGAATTTAATTTTATACCTGGTAACCCTCAGTGTTTATCAACCTGGCCAATCCCAATATCTCATATTAGTAATTCTTCTTACTGTCTGTGATTCAATTCTTAGAGTGTTGTTTGGGAGAATTTGGTATTGAAGAGACTTAAATAATCCCCCAATTGATATTTTTCTTTATTCTCATAAAATGTCTGCTTGATATTGTATTGACATTGTAAGGAGAAATTCTGTTTTGGTTACTCATGGAAGTGAGATGTGTAATGCTAAATGTACTTTTTGACAATTGACGTTTAACACATCATTTTTAAAAAAAATAAGTGAAGGATGCAAAGAAGCACTCTTTGTTTTAAGGTGAAGTGACATTTGTGCCCCCAAATTTTATAAGAGACTTCTGTCACATACTTTATTGAAAACTTTTTTTTATGTCCTTTCTTCCCCAGCATGCTTTTCCTTGTTGTTCTTTCCGAGCCACCATCCCCTTAATTATTGGATCATCATTTAGATCAACAAGCATTATTCTTACCTTAGTCTTTACTTTCCTCAGGTTGAAAAACATAGCTTCTCTGTTTTGCCATCTTTTGACAGCTCAGACTTTTGCTGCACCCGACTTGAAATACAAAGTAAAGTAAGATACATCATGTTTTGATTAATTCAAATCAATGATAATAATGATAATATTTTTGTTGATATAAAACTGCTGCAACTTGATGGGAACTCATATAGCTGTTAGGGTTTTGGCAGAGTGAATATGTACAATTCACAAAGGATGTAGTTGTTAAAATGCTTTTAATCCCAAGTGTTTTCACAGCCGCACCTCATTCTTGATTTAATTTCTGAAGGGAAAGAGACGTCTGTACTCAGGCTAGTGATCCTAGACGTTTTTGTGTCAAGAACACAGAATTTTAATGAAAATTTATGATTATATGAATTAAACAACGTGGCATACATGTACATGTATCTCCAAATGGCAACAAAACAAGTACTGGAAAATCCATCTACACTGTAATTCCTGCTCAGAATATTTAAAGATTTTCTGCAACAATGAGTTTGGGTAAAGGAAAAAAAAATTGAAATAGTGGGCTGCACTACCCTAACTACAGGTTACACAATAATTTGAAAGAATGTCTTTAAAATTCATCCCATTTGTCAAGACGTATTGGTCAGCCATAAGATTTCAGTATTATGCAATTATTGTAAACATTTTTAAAATACCAAACAGATAACCAACAGGTTGAGCTGTTTCAAAAGATAGGCCTTAGTTAGCGTATGTTTTTTCGTATGAGAGGTCACATAAAATTCAGTGACGATGATGGTGGCTTTTATTTTGGGTACATTAGGATGGAACTCACATACCTGTCACGTTAATTCATCACAAAGATCTAAAAAAGGAAGGAAGCAATCCCCTACTTCTACATGTTTATGGTAATGACTGTATTTTTTCCCTTTTTCTTTTTCAAAACTTGCCTTACTTACTCGTAAAGAAAGTAAGCTTTATCATCGGTACATTTGAGGAAGTCTTACCTTCAGAATATTTATTTCACTCTAAAAATATATAGGACATAGTTCCTCTACACTGCTTGTTAACAAATGTTCTTAATCGAAAACACTTAATGTATCATTTCGTAACATATAGCTTGCCAAAAATAGTCTAGTTTGATAGTAAGTAGAATCTAAACAATGTTAAAAGAAAGAAAAATTTAAGGCACTGGAACCTCCCTCTTTTTTTTCATTTTAATTAATTTCCTTTGCTTATTTTGTGTGGTCAGTACCCCTTTTATTTGCTCATTGATCTAATTTTTTCTTTCTTTTCTATTAACATCGCTATGTGATGTAGTTCCTGTGACGTACAGGACTGTAGTGTTTACTGTGGCACAATAAAAAATTGAAATAAAAAAAAAAAGATAAATTAACAGTTTTCTCAAATATATCTACCTCAAGGTGAATTACTGTGCACTATATAATTGATAACCTGTATGTTGTAGGCTCCTACGGTATCAATGTCAACATGGGTTTTGATGTGGAAAGGATCAGTCTGTTAAAACGGGGATGGTGTCTTGCTTTCTGTCATGTCAGGTAATTTATTTAATATATAGATTTGTCAATTTTTTTTTTTTCTCGCACGTCTCAAAGGGGGTTTTGAGGGTCGTCTGGAAAGGACCACTGGTCTGTTAATTGGCGTGCCCACGGGATGGTGTCATGTTACATCCCAATTTTTTCGGCTTGATGGGTTACTACTATTTTGTATAATTATAGGGCTATGCTCTGCGAGCTCCGCTAACATAATGATCTAACCCATGTGACTGTGAAGAAACTTTAGCAAGTGGGGCTGTTGATTTTTTTAGTAATCTTTTTTTGCTCAATTATGTTTTCCATTATTTAATTTTGAATCAAGTATTATTGAATGTCATGAATTGTGGGATTAAACTACTAACAGAAATGAGAATAGACAGGCAACTGCTCATTAGTTCTGCGCTGCCATATTTTCCAGGTTTCTTACTGTAATAAACATTTCATGTTAAATAAAAATGAGATCTGTATTCTACAGAGGTGGTGGAGAACTTGGACGGGAGTGGTACTTAGATGGAAAGTTACAGAATAAACATAAAGGCTTTGAGGTATATACTTGTCATTGGATAATAGGTGTCATTTACAGCTCAAAAATTTTGTTGCTTTCAGAGTATTTTATCGGAAAATGACAGGTATTTCGCCTTGCAGGATTTTGAAGCTTGTGCTAAAGCACTGCATAATTTGGGGTATTCCAACCCACAGTTAACAGCAGCACGCGGGACAAGTGCAGGGGGATTGATAGTGGGAGCCGTCTGTAACAGATCACCTGAGTTATTTAAGGCAGTTATTCTTAAGGTTAGACTACTTTTATAGAACGTAGTATGTTGCTGTTTTTGTCTTTGCTTTTTTTTTGACGATAAATTGTAAACGGTGATGATTAAAATGAGGTTGATGCAGATGATGATGACAGTGTTGACTACAATAATGTTGATGATGATGACAACTATGGTTAAATGTTTATTGACTGTGAATATATGAAATATCACTTCACGAGTTTGTTACGAACCAACATGATGACCAGCTCCCAGTTAACTTGTTAGCCCAGTTGGTAGAGCACTGCACCGGTATCGCAGAGGTCATGGATTCAAATCCCGTTCTTGCCTGAGTTTTTTTTCAGGCCTTATTTTCACTGCTGCTTAAGTAATGTTCATTACTGCAAAGATGGCTTTCATATTCACTTAATTTTTATTGCTGGCTTTTTGTTACTGCATGGATCCCAACTAAGCTTTGAACTCTCAGTTAATAAATTGTCCTTCAGGATTTTATCAGGTCTGAAGTTTGAGAAAAAGTGAACGCAATTTTTTTCGAGACTTAATTGTAGTTAAAATCAATTTTACCATGCTCTATCGTTTAGAAAACTCTTTTGATGTATCATTCCTTTAGTTACAAGGCATTGTTACATTGTTAATCAGAGCTTCCTCTGACAGGTTCCATTTTTAGATATTTTGACGTCAATGTTGGATCCTTCTCTTCCATTGACAGTTCAAGAATATGAAGAGTGGGGTGAACCTGGGTATGAAATATTTGTTCAGTGTCCTTAAGATGTACTTGTTAATAGAAAATGCATGCAAGATTATTTGGAAGTTTTTGAGAGATTTCTGTGATTTTTGGGTTAGTCCTGAAACAGAGTAATTAAGTATTATCAACTGAGTTGATAACGTAAATTGGCCAGCGTAAAAGGTTTAAAAGCTGATGTTTCGAGCGTTAGCCCTTCGTCAGAGTGAATGGGAACGAAGGGCTAACGCCCGAAACGTCAGCTTTGAAGCTCTTTACCCTGGCCAATTTACGTGATCAACTCAGGTGATAATACTTAATTTAATAATAACTAATTACCCTGTTATACTCTCCCAAAGACGTAGGTTCTTTAGAAACATACCCCCTTTATTCATTAGTCCTGAAACAGGCAACTGTTGGCAGAGACCTGGCCAGTACTATCATCTGTAGCTTGTACATACATTCAGGCTCTCATCAGGGCTGTGACACAAACGGCAAGGCGCATGCGTTCAAAGCATTAATGAGACTCTGCTCGTTGGCTTAACATTATCTGAGACACTTTCTCTACAAGTCCAGTCATCCATGCATCCCTGTTCTTGAACATTTCAATTATGAACTTAACGTATGCAATTTTATTTTCAGGTTGGATGAAAAAGATTTTCATTACATCAAATCGTACTGTCCGTACCAGAATATTAAAAATCAGGTAAAGTTCTGAAACAGTTATGCAAATCTTAGTATGTTTAAACAGTCAGGATTAAATTAAACAATTGTTGGCTAAACCTCGGTTAGCTTAATTGCGCTTTGATGGACCCGGGCTGTTTTCAGCGCACTAACCATTTCGCTACCTCATCTCCTATGAACATGACTACAGGATGCAGTTAAACGAATTTATTATTTGTAAACTGTTTTATTGTTAATATTGTGACTTCTACAGGTGTACCCTTCAGTGATGGTGACCACGGCAATGAATGATGATCGTGTGCCTTACTGGCTGCCACTGAAGTGGGTCGCTCGACTGAGAGATCAGTTGTCGCACCACGCCCAGGGAGAAAAGCCGCTGGTTGTCTGTCATGTTGAATATTATGGAGGACACTCAGAAACAGAAGGAGTGTACCACAGAATTGAAAAGGTAGGTTTATTACATTCTTTGATTTCTTTTCCACACTGCTTAAAGGAGCTTCACATAATTTACCACTTTAGATTTTTTCAATCCAAATGGCAGATATTGGTAGAAATGATACTAGTTCTGATACCCATAGCATGAAGCATGCTATGTAAGCAGTTCGCTTACAGCTTGGGTCGTTTCGCCAATGTCTCAAGTCATTTCACTCATGTCTCATTGGTTATTTCACTAACGTTTAAGTTATTTTACTAAGGTCTTATTTTAGTTCTGTTTTCTTAGAAGTAACGACCTCCAAATTTACCCTTTACTTTGTATCAAAATGACTTGAGTTGTATCGAGTCGACTTTCTGCATGTATCTTTCTGCATCGACATAACGAACCGTCGATACAACGAACCAATTTCTCCAGTCCTTTGGCACTTCGTCAAATCGAAGTTCCACTATAATTTTATTCACTCGATAACCGCAAGATGTAATACGAAAATTAATGTTGGCACGTTTAAGATTAATGTACTGGTATATACACTGCACTTTTACAGAACTACATATACAATGTACAGCTGTACCATTTCTCATATGCAAGCAAAATCCAAGCCCTGTCACAAGTCAAACCACTTTTATCAAATTGTGTTAAAAAAATATGAAGAAAATATTGAAAAGTAATTGTTTTTATTTTTGATATATTTCTTTTTTCACTGTTTTCATAGGCAGCAAAGGAGTACGCTTTTCTTTTCAAGGCATTAGGACTGCCCCTGGAGTAATATTTGAACTTTGTTCTGTGGATGATGACAGCTTTAGATCAAGAGGTGGAAGGATTGTGGACTGTGAAGTTTTACTTGCGACGATGTAGTGAATAAAATATTTTGAAAGAGGCAAATTCTTAACTGCTTTTTTTAGTTTATTTCCTTTTTCTTATAAAAGCTTTACACGCCCCAGTCAGTTCAATTACCATTAAATACCATCGCTGATATGTTGCTAGTATCATTATCAAGGCCATGTTCCAAGAGAAGCCCGCGATGCCACCGGCCATCTACCCCAGAATATCTTACCAGCTGTCTACAGTAAATTTTCGGCTTACAGTATTAGCCTAAGTGCTTTGCATTTTGGCTGCTACTGCAGCTTGCAGAGGGAGCATACATGACACCTTGGCTTACGGTTATAGCAGAAATTATGATCACCCAGACTTTCAACAAGTTTGCTTCCTGAATAAAATGCAACTCGTTACTATTTTCGGCTTTGGTAAAACTACAACGGGGAGAAAGTAATTGGCACATTTTATAACTATGGATGCCAAAGTGAGCATGGACCTTGGGAGAGACGAATGCTAAGCTATATTCTATATTTCAAAGGCATTTCCGCAGATGCTTCAAATTGCGCAGAATGCCTGGAAATCATTAGTTACTCAAGGGCACTGAAGCGGGAAAGTTTGAATGCAATCGCGCCTTGAAAGTCTAAAATAAAGGAAGAAGAAGCCGAAACTAGCGCAGCAGCGTTGAGAAAACTCGCTTTCCCGATTTCCAGAGGCAATTTGTAAGAACCTAAGAACGGGTTTTTGAGGAGGAAGGGTTTATCTTCAATTAAAGCTTAAAAAGAAGAAGTTTGAAAAAGTGTAAGAACTATTCCTATACTTCTGAAAATGACGATAAAAAAGGACATTTTTTAGTGTGAAGAGCGATTTCAAAAGTGATGTTTTAAAAAACTCGAACCGGCTCCCAAAAACCACAAAAAGGGGAAATGGTTATGGATATTGCCGCTGCAGAAAGGAGAGAAAAAAGAGGAAAAAGTCACAACAGTAATTTCGTCTTTGTTAAGAGTAAAGAGTGAAGAGTGAAGCTTTTATTGAAGGGGAAATTAGAGTTAACAACCTTGTGGTTTCTTAGCTCACGTAGCTTTGCTAATGAAAAGCATTATTGACGAAAATTTTGAACAAAAAATTAAATAAATAAATAATAAAAGAAAAGATAACAACCACCATAAAACATGGCAAGACAAGAACACAATTTACACTTAAAATTGCTTTTGTACAAATTCAATGTAATTTTTTATTCACCTAAATTTATGTTCAAAAGATCAGATATTTGTTATCTGTCGACACATCAGTGAATGGCTGAAGAGGGATTAGTCAACTATGGTTTATTTTGAAATATTAAACCTGAATTTTAAAGTAGGGAGTACTTACCTAACCTTAATCTTCTCCATTTATGGTCGACAACAGTTTTCAAGCTCTTCATGCAAGTTGATTTTTCGAATACTTGCAAAATTCTTTGATCAATTGTAACTACTGTGGACTTCAATTCAAAATCCTTTCATCTAAGTTCAAATAAACGAAAGCGGAATTGTGTCCTCTTATTCTCAAATGTTTCAAACTTACACTACGTGAGAAACAAATTCTCTCGCACGCACCTCTCCGGTGTTATGATTCCCTGTGCGTAATAAAAGTTGGGTCAAACTTCTTCCTCGAATCACAGAAGATGCACAGTTGAGTGGAATAAAACTCGACTATCACGTCCCGTTTCCCTAAAACATGATCTACGTTGGAACTTTAGATATAGTGTTCTGTATAGCCTTGACCAGCGAGTCCACCCAATCCGTGGGTGGCCTTGCACCCCATATTGATGCAGCCTTTTTCTGAGAATTTTCTTGAGTTTTCTCCTTCTTTGATGCAGTCGTGCTATCGTCTTTGCTCGTCCCTGGTTTATCTGACGGACCCGAGGTCGTTTTAGCTGAAGCCTCGTCCTCTTCCTCTTGGGTCCGCCTTCGCTTCTTCACGGGTCCATCATCTCCTTCAGTTTTGGCAGCAGATGACTCTTCTTTACCCTGCTGCTGTGAGGGAGGTTGTTCCGACTCTACCGCCGGTGACCGCAATTTGGCCTCTAATTTTTTGGTTTGATACTTGCGGCAGACCACCAGCAATTCGTTGAGACTTGGTTGCAACAAGGGGCTTACGTCCGACTTGTGTGGCGGGCGAACTGAGAAAAGTAGAGACATGGCCCGCAGTTCCTGCGGAGGAATTCGGTAGAATAACATTTTTTAAGTTGACTAATTTTAAAGAAAACAAAGTTTTACCTAATTTCATGATTTTCTATCTAAATAATAGGGGAAACCAGCCTACAATGGGAATTAATTGGCCCATTGCCTGCACACGTCAGTCTCAGAGTGAACCATATCGCAATTCTCTTATCCACTATCTCTGTTTCTTTCTTTGGTCTTATCTGAAGGAGAAACCTTCAAGTTCATACGTTTCTCTGGATAATTTTCCAATATTGTAAGGAGAACGTATCACTATACTTATTCTGCCAACAGGTTACCAATTATGGACCAGAAGTTGGACGTTATCATAAATGTTAGGTTAATCTGTTGCGCTGTAGTTAGGCATTCTATTCCCTAGTTGCACGAACTGCTCGGAACATTTCCCTTTGCAAGTCTTACTACGCTGTGTTTCTTTTTATAAATAACAAGAAAAAAATTTCGACAAAAGAATTTGACTTAATAAGTTCTCACCGCAGTTAGCCTCTTAGCTATTGCACAGAGTTCAGTGTCATTTGCCTTCTCCGCTGCGGGTTTATCGGCGATTACTGTCGCCACCAGTGTCTGCACCAAGTTATTCCACTGCTTTACCAACACCTGGCTTGACACCTGGGAGAATACAAAATTGTAAATATTACATACATTTAACACCAGTTCTCTTAAAGAGAGAATGCAGCAACAGCAACGACTTAGGCTGTGGTTATTTTGAGTGACCACCTACCGTAAGTTTGTTAATTCAAAATATTGCGTCTAACATACTTTACTTCATAGGCGAAAGAACGTTTTTAGCTCGTTTGCGGCCTGGTAGCCGGAATAAAGAAGACTTACTAGACTAGGGAGATAATGCAAACAAGTAAAGAAACAAAGGCAGCAAAACAAAACAAACAAACAAGAACACACACACAAAAAAAAACAAACACCTTATGCTTACCCGCGGAAAAAAGCAGCACAGGAAGGAATAGATGTCTCGCACATTGAGACTTTCTCGTTCATCCAGTAAGATCAGGTCCACGTACTAAACAAACGTTAAAAAATGGTAAACTAACCAAACTTAATAGTTACACTCGGCTATTTTGCGTTGTTTTCTTGTCTCACTTTTATTGTCAGCCTATCTTGTGCTGACCAATTGATGTATAAAATGTAGCTTCCTGATCAAGACAACGCTTGATTTATGTGCTTTTCCTTTGACGGACTGATAACTAAATAGCGATTTATTTATCGATGAACTAAACATTGGTTAAGTGCAGCAAATAAATAAAGTCAAAGACACGGTAAGATGCAAAAAGGAATCTATTAACCCTTTGACCCCTAGGGATGACTAGCATCTAAATTCTCCTTACATTATCACCCCTGAATCACACATTAAGGTCATGAGAATCAAGGAAATCATCACCAACTAAATGAAGCTGTTGATTGTTGAACAAATTCTCCTTGTCAGCACCTTAGGAAATGTAGAAAGAATAGTATGGAGAATATGCATACTGATGCTGAGGCGTAAAGGGTTAATATATGAGTGAGTGAGTGAAGGAATGAACCCAACCAAAGATGTTACTATCGATTGCTGCCTCTCCATTATTCTGTAATGGTAGTAAAAACTACGCACGAATGCAGAAAAAAAATAAGCTGCATCAGAAGTTACCTCGAGGAACTCGGGTTTCTGACAAAGCTGCTGTATGTAGGTCTTGTATCTACCAATCTGCAAAAAAAAAAACAGCCACAAATTGAAAGCGTTGGTGACCTTGAGCCGAATAATTAAAGAAACAACTGTAAATGAAATGTGTGGCTACCCTGTGCAGAATGCGTAAATATGGACAGTGAAACAAGTCCACGTCAACGTAAGCAACACGACACACACCTCGCCAGCCTTCTGATACACTTCCATCCACAGACTGCTGAAGAACGTGAAGTGAAGAGGGATGGCTTCTATCGCCAAGAGACAACCTATAACAAGAGTAGAAGCGTGAATTCGACGGTAAGCTCATTTACCCACCACATCACAAAGAACAGTAGCCACATGTACACATAATGACCGGATTCATCTAAAACCTTATGCTTGAGAAGAAACAAAATTGTTGTAACCGAAGAATGATTGACCGAGGCGCCAAAATTGGTTTTGTGCTGAAGGCTGTATAGTGCTGAATTAATGAACAAAGGGGATTTGAAAGAATGATAAAGATAAAGATAATCGCATTGTTACCCCTGAGAAACACCCGGCACAAGAGGCTATAAAAATGGCTCAGATTTGTTCAAGTATCTGTCTGAGTTGTTGTTGTTGCATAATTATGATAAGCTATCTCCTATTTTTTCATGTATATCATTAATATGTAATCACATAATTTTTCTCGTGCAACGTGCAAAAAACATGCGCTTGTAAATTTTTTCAAAGACCACAAACTGCACTCGCCCTACGGGCTCGTGCAATTTTGTTAGTCTTTGAAAAAATTATTTACTCGTGCTTATTTATTCCATATCGCATTCGAAATCATGTGATTACCTATACTGATATCTTGAAGGAGTCTATGACCTTCAAACACTTACTGCAAGTGATGACATGTTCAGGGACCCTGTCATGACCGAATCCATAGCGCAACAGTTTATCCACGAAGTGGTGATACGGTTGGAAGTACTCTGCAACTGCTGTGTCATACAACTCCTCCACTCCCTGAGAACATCAAGTACACAACAGGTCAGCGACTTTGCTAATACTAAGATCAAAATGAATGCTGGGATTGACTCTATCGTATTCCTGCGATTCACCTCCGTGGTAACTCCATGCGATTACCCCAAGTTAGAATGGTGAGTCAAAGAGTATCGGTAGGCGGTAATTACCTTTGGCGAGTCCAGGAATGACGGATGAAGGAACATGTTAAGCTCAGGCACAGCGGGCCTCGCCACAGACTTGCTGCTGACAATCATCTTTGAGTGTCGACGAGGAAAGTACGGACCAAGGAGACCTGGTGATTGCACCACATGTGGTTAGTACAGTTTATTTCTTTTTAAAGGCCACAAGTAGAAGAGAACTAAGCGCTTAACATGTGCACTTGTCGTGATGAAGGCCCAAGTAACTACAAGTACCTTATCAATTGCCAATTACGTCTCTGTATATATACTAGCGAAATTAAGTCTCAAGAAAAAAATCTGAGAGAACTTGGGGTTCGGAGTCCTAGTTTCCTTGTTGCTTTCCAAATGACATATTGCAAAAGCTCCAAACGACTTCTAGTCAATGTCAAGACATGTGAAAAATCGTAAATACAGTTTTCCAAACAGAATTGGTTTGCTTCCAGTTGGGGCGCAAAATAAACACACAAACAAACAAAATTACACGAAACAAAATAAATATTAATTACTACAAAAGAAACATATTACTTTGCGTCTCTTAAGAGAGAAGAAACAGTGAATTAGAATGAATCATGGACTTGTAAAAAACGTTCTTTGTGGCTGTTACTAAAATTATTTCAAGATCAAGTGTTCAGACGTCAGTTTTAATTAGTACATCCATATGCCCTCGTCTTTACAACTCTATTCTGGGGATTTATATCATACTTCTAGAAAATAATTACCAAACGCATGTGATAGTTTTTTCGTTCCAGCGAAGCAGGAGAAGTGTGATCTAAACAAAAGCTGAGCGAAGACATGGGACTGAAAGGAGACTAAAGTTAGCCCACTTCTCGTGCTTTTCTGAAGGGGAACGAAAACTACTGCTACGCAAGTTAAAACTAACCTGGGGGAGAAGTTTTGTTCCAGTGCTGATGAGAGGCACTTATGATGGGAATCAGTGCTTCTGTGATGTCACCGGGGTACAGAACCAACATGGCGTTTAACACATCTGTGGATCACAATGGATCACTTTGTCAAATACGGGATATTATATAGTGGGGCGCTCATTGAGGTGGAAAACGAGGAACAAACTTGAGGGCTCTATTGCATTGCTAACCAAATTTTAACCCCTTCTAAATACGTACGTGGGCAAATTTCAAACGAGACTTTTTTACTTTTCTACGCTCCGTGACTACCTCAGAAAACTAGACGGCGTCGCCTTCTCAACCAACCTTATACGAAACGAAAACAACTTAGCCACTCGCGCTTCAGCGAAATTCCTGGTTTTTAATTGAAGCTCTAACTGGCTCGTGATATGTTCCTTTATCGAGAGTGGCCATTTTTATCACAGTAATTGGGTCATAGTGGCCCTTTCCACAATAAAGTCGCCCACTGAACTTGTGTTCACATATCAACTATGATATGATCAACACTTGAACCCACGCAGCCGGTTGTCAACAGGGCAACGGAGCTTTTATTATCGCGGTGCCAAACGAATAGCCTTTCGAAGGATCTTCAGAACATTAGGGACATCAAAAACTTCAAACCTTTACACCTTAACATCAGTATGCATATTCCCCATACTGTTCTCTATACATTTCCTAAATGTGCCAGCTGGGAGAATTTGTTTAACAATCAAAAGGTTCTTCAGTTGATTATCATTTCCTTTACTCTCGTGACCTTAATGTTTGATTCAGGGATGATACTGAAAGGAGAAATTAGATGCTAGTCACTCTCAAGGATTAAAGGGTTAAGGAAAGAATATTTAACCACAATTTAATGAATAGACATCATTGGCTTTTGGTTTTTTATTACGATTGTAAATACTGTAAAGTTAGTTAGTTGTGTCTAAAAAGCCCTGTTAAGGGAGACCCAATAAAGTGTAAGTGAATGTAAGTGTGTGTAAGTGTACTATGAGTGCTGTTGATCATGGATAAAGAGAGGAAAGTCTTTCATCCGATTGCATTTTGCTGATATCAATTAAACACAATACGCAAAAAGACTTTTTTCGGTTGAGGGTCATTGAGTGCTGTTGGGAAAGTATCCATCGATCGATATGACTTTACGACTTACCTAGACAGGACTGCCTGACTTCTTTTGGTGTGTAGGTATTTAACAGCGAGAGAAGTTTTTGGGCGACATCAAATCTCTCTGACCATCCTAAAATACTACTGCGAACGTCTGAAAGACACAAAAAACAACGCTAAAAACACGAAGACAAGAAGTACCTACTCTACGAGAAGATACAGGTAACGTCTAGTTTCTCAAATTCTACATTTAAACATAGTTCAGTCTTGCAAGTCAAGTGACCCAGTTCATAGCGGAGCTTATCCTCGTTGCCCTAACTTGAAATGACTGAGAGTATTGCCTCTGAAGCAATCCCCCACCAAGGCTGGTATCAGGACCTTTGGGTCTGGAGTATGCCCTAAACAACAAGGGACTCGGTACTTAACTGAAGAATGCGTCTATCGAAAAGATATCATGTACAGTCTAGTTAACGATGCATCGGCTAGAAGACAAAAGTGAGTATTTAATACCTTGTTTATTGCTATGCGGCCGACAGCACACCAATAAGTTGTGTAAAATCATTAACACTTCCGTCAGGTCTCCTGTCACGTGACAAGCTGTAGCCTCATGGTACATCATGTGAAGGGTTGTAAATGCCTGTTGAGTAATTTGAGAGAGAGAGGAACTTTATTAATAAGTTATTGTCTGTTGTTGTTCCTGTCACAGATTTGACTGGAAACAATCACGCAGCTACACGATCGATTCGAAATTTAGCCTTACATCAGACAGCGTGAGGAGTCCTTGGTTGACAACCACGGTCAGTCTGTCCTCATCCGTTTGAAGCAAGATCTTGTACGCACTACAACGAAAAAAACAAAAAGATTCTTTAATGATGATCTATTACAGTTTTGTGCACTCCACTTTTTTTAATCTAGGCTTAATAACGACATGAGTGTAACTATGACATGAAATAGAGGCAGTATGGTAAAGCCTCACTTCCATGCATCTCACCTTCGTGTCTTTATCTCATACACTCGAGCCTCGCTATCACATTACTCGCTCAAGTCCCTCCTACACAGACCCCTGTACCTGATAAGTGTCGTCCACGACGCTCCTCCGTCCAGGCAGTTCTGGTACAGGATAATGGTGTCTCGTCTGAACGATGCTTCAAAGGCTTCTTCTTCTTTGCTTTTCTCTTGGGGCGGATCAGGGGAAGTAACGCCAGCAAAAAGCCTCATGAGGGCAAAAAGCTCCTCGACTGCCTATGACACGGGCAAACCAAAACACTTGTCAAGCAATTCACACAGTCTCATCACGCTCAGAAAACACAAATTTGCAGCACACTCTTCATTTTCTGCTTTACCAACAAACCAAAAGGGGGGACTACTAATTCTAAGTACTGCTAATGTATGGTGGGAAATAATTCCCACAATGCTTTACTGTGAAAAAAACGGGCAAGTTAGGGAAAACATGCGGAGGAAAAACGCGCGGCTTAGCCTGGTACATACCTGTGGATACTGGTTCATGCGTATGGTGAGATTTTCAAAAGCCCATTTCATGTTGGAATGCACAGCCAGCTGGTGAGTGAAAGAGCGGGAATGCTCACAACACAACCGAAGTAGCCCATAATATGCCGGAAGTACATTTCTGTTAAAGTTTACAACTTCCGGTTCATCACTGGAACTGAAAACGTACAAAGATCATCACACGAGTTAATGGTGGCAGCCAACAACCAGAGCGAACATACACGAATTGTCATGAAAACCAAAGCTATCACATTCAGTGAAGAGGTTAACGATATAAGAAGCCAGGACGAACTCAAAAGGATAAACAAATGAATAAAGGGGGTAAGTTTCTAAAGATACTGTGGTGTTGGAAAGTATAACGGGGTAATTTAGTATTATCAACTGAGATGTTAACGTAAATTGGCCACCTTTAAGAGTGTCAAAGCTGGCGTTTCGGGCGTTAGCCCTTTGTCAGAGCGAATCGTCGAAACGTATTTCGCTCTGACGGGACGAGATACTAAATTACCTTCGGAGAATAAACAGGCAAACTGACTAAAGCGCAGGAAAATAAGAGTAGCAAGCCAGGATTGGTTTAAGTTTTGCATCTTATCAATCGATCAGACCAATCCCAAAGCGAAGTAAACCAAATCCACAGCTATCTCGGATTACCCTCGAAACTCAAATGAAAATGACCCTAGAAAGGTTACTCATACGACCAAAAGGATACCAAAAGTCTAAATTAAGAGAGTCACTTACAGAATGTAGTTGAGCGGTATGTTCGCAGCCACGCTGCTGTTCTCCGTAATAAAGTCAATATTTTTCTCACAACTAATACAAGCGTGAAACCAGAAGATCAGCAAGGCCTGAGAATTAACAAACCATTTAGTGCATGAGAAACTTACACCTTCTTTGTTCTTTTAAACGTTCGATAGCCATCTGATTAGAAGTAAGGCTCAAGCAGATAAAGATAAACATTCAGGTATTTCGACTTATTACCTCTTCATTCATTTATTTCATTAAACATATCAAAGCTAAACCAAGTTGATGTTGGACGAATGCAAATTCTCCATACACTGAACCCTCTCGACAAGGAACTGGAACAAAGATTCCGAAAATCGATGAAAGAAAGGAACGAACGAACAAACAAACAAACAAAATTAGCAATTCAAAAACAGTGCGATTTTTTTGGAACTTTAAAAACCTGTTATTAATTATGCCACCTTTCTATTAAGTAATCACAAAGGTGAAACATTTACCATATACTGTATGGCCCAACTCTGCAACAAGTTGTCTCAATATCTCAGTAGTATAGCATTGGACCGTGAAGGTGAAGGTCTGAGGTTCGACTTCTTGCCGAGAAAACAGATTTCTCTTTATTCCAAGCTCGTGACTAACAAATAACGTCTTTCAATTTTCGACGACAGGGGTCGAGATATATCATCTTTCTTTATTCATAAATCACCTGTTTGTTAGGATGTACTGCGATATTTGGTTCTGACATCAATGGGTGAAACAGCCGCCACAACTCTGTACAGAATGGCGTGAACTACGAAGAAGGATAAGGATAGTTTCATTAGGGAAGTTTACCAAAAGGCGTCTCCGTTTCGGACGCATGCTACCAAATAACACAACCCAAAAGGCGTATTAACAAGGGAACTTTTTTCATACCATTTCCTTCTCCGTTTTTGATGCAAGGCAGTAGTTCAACACGGCAAAATAGCTGACAAGTTTTGTGGTGCCATGGATGTTTCGATCTACTTAACCAAACAGGACAGAGAGACAGAAAGAAAAGTTATCTATTGACTCAATTACTAAAAACGTTACTGGATTATTTTTCTTTGCTTAAAACAAAAATAGTAACAAAAGCAACAGAAACTTTAAATCTTCTAAAAATTTAGCGTTCTACATACCACAGTATTTCCTGGCTCTTGGAAGAAGGTTAAGCAACATTTTGTAAATCTGTTTAAAGTAAGAGGTAAAGGCGGACGATTACAAAAACGAAAGGCAAAGACGAAGTACAACATAGAAGTAATAATGATAAAATAAAATGTCATACCTCATGAAGTATGGAGAGAGCATCCTTGCTCAACTGAAAAAAAAAAACAGAAAAAAAAGGATATTCCTGTTAGAAAATGAACAAATAATGCAAAGTACCAAATCTGAATGCGCCTGACCATTTAATTTTGTAATTCACCTGAATTACTAACTGAATTGGAACCAAATAGATATCTGGAGGAAAATTGGATTTGAGTCTTAAAGTGAGAAGATTAACTGAACTTCTAAAATACTTCGCCATATCTGATGAAATTGCATATAAGAACTGGAAACGGTCGAGGGGAAAAAATTCGTTTAACGCATTTCTTTATGTTTGTTTGGTTGCTTAATTAAGAGCGGGGCGAGTTCGTTCCGTCTATTTTTTTAAAGGTCAAGATCTACTATTCTTTACGACTGACATTTAAACATTGTGAATTATAGTTACCACCATTTCCTTATGCGGTGCAGAAAAGCTTCTTGACCTGAGAAAAGAAACAAAGGAAATGAACCATCACGATTTCTTACCACAAAAACTATAGCAGTATCAGGGATCTCTTCTCTTTATAAGCGATTTAAAGCAATGGTAGACAATAAAAATGAACTCTGATTTTGATAACCTGTGTTTTGAATTCTTAAGTCAACCCACTGCAAAAGTTGCGAAAATTTCTGACACAAAAGTGTTTCCTATTGTTTACAAACCTAACGAAAAAAGTTAAAAGTTTGTAATAAAAGCCACTTGAAGTTTCCCCATAATAAAAGTACTTGGTCGTACAAAAGCTCGATCCGCGTCCGTTTCAGAGAGATCACCACCAAATAGCCGTTGGTTCGTTCTATAGTGAATACTCTCAGTAGCGCTGTAGGATAATCAGCGAAGCCGCGATAGGTCTATGAGGGGTTTGTGCGGAACCCTCCCAGACCCCTGGCGCGCTTCCATTGCACGGGCTTTTCCCATCGTGTCGCAACGCCAATAACAAACCCACTCGCAAGCAATGATTACGGAAAGACACGATTGTGATTTTGTCCGGTGTTCCCTTGCAGAGCCCGATTAATATGGGGTCCGTTTAACCGAAATGTCACGATTTAAAACTACCCTGACAGTCTCGATGGGACGGTTTCAATGTAACACAAAGCTGTCCCTACCTGAACCCTTGTCTGAAGTGACTGTTAGGCACAAGGCTTACCAGAAGATATGCAGAAGCTACAGATGACAAAGAAAGAACAGACACTCTGAGAAATACTGCTGGATGGAAGAGGAAAACGACTTACAAAACCTGACAGGGTAAAACTTCACCTAACTTACGGTGCGCAGTTACGAAGTTGCTGATTATTAAACTATACTATTTCGTGATATACACTCCCATTTAGCAAAGGTTTCAACAACGTTTTCCATAAGCAGCTGTTGTTGGTGTGATTAACGGCTGTGCCTGGAAATAGGCCTTAACTCTCTGACCCCTAAGAGTGACAGGCATCTGATTTCTCCTTACAATATCAGCCCTGAATCAAATATTCAGGTAAGGAGAATAGAAGAAATGATCACCAACTAAAGCAGCTCTTGACAAGTTCTCCATGTCAGAAACTTAGGAAACGTTTAGAGAACAGCAAAGTACAATGACGTTAGGATGCTAAGGGTTAAGGCGAAAACCCAAACGCGAGAGCCTGCCCGCAGGCTAAACGGACGGCGGTAAGAGGTCTCAAGGGCAGCGGTAGACTGCCAATAACCAGCTTTTATTGAAACCCGGATTGGCGAAGCATTGAGTTTTGAGGAAACAGATGTTTTTATTCTCCGTCAGAACAGCAGAACATTAACAGGGAAGGCAAAAGAATATTCTCAAATTCTCTCGCACGCTTAGTTACAACATACTTATCCTTCTACTCCGAAAGCGGTAAATTTTTCCAGCTTTTTATTGAGCGTTTCTCTTTCCTACACGAACTTAATTTTGCAGGTCAGGAACCCACAATATCTACGAAAATTAAAACGGTCATCGGTTGATGATTATGGCAGCAAACAAAAACTATCAAGCACAGCGGTCTTGGTCACGAATTTCTGTCAGGTTATATAAAATGAAACCTATGTTAAATGATTTAACTCACCATTTCTAAGCCTGAGACTGTTGTCAGCAATAAGATACTTTTCCACCCACTTATCCATGTTTTCCAATACCCACTGATGAGCCTACCAACAAACGGCAAGGGTAAGTTGACGGTATTCACAATCAGTACGTTAACACTTTCACTGCCAAGATATCATTAGTACCCTCATACAATTATTATGATGTCAGTTCGGAGAATTAGGTATTGAATCAACTAGTAATCTCCATATGAATTTTTCTCTATTTTCATAACCTGTCTGCTTGATATTGCATTGACCTTGTAAGGAGAAATTCTCTCTTGGTCACTCATGAGAGTTAAAGGGTTAATCGGAAAGTTCGAGCATAAAGAGAGAGTAAAAAAACAAACAAACAAACCAACACATACCATCCTGTTTTTCGGAGCCATGCACGTTAGCCAGTCTATACACAGAGCAGCGTTGTATTCGGCAGCCTGCGGAAAGTAAAACAGACGCGATTATCTTCTTGTCAATACACAAGCGATATTTTACATTGATGCAACGTTATTCCAGAGACTCTTTCGAAGACAAGGAAGTCTTCGTTCTTCGGTCAATTCCAAAAACATATCACTGAAAAACCCAATCCACACTTCAAATTGTTTTTTGTTCTTGTTTGTTTGTTTTTTTTTTAACATTTATACGAAAAAGGTTGCCAACATTTGAGCTTTAAGACATACTTTGTTTATTCTAGGCTAGTGAGTGTGGGGAAAAGTTTAACCCTACGTTATCAATAAATAAAAGTAACAAACACAAACAACAACAATGAAAACTGCAACATGTAGCTTACCTCCCAGATACGTGCGAGGGTCAGGTTGGTAAAAGATGGCATGCCAGGTGGACCCCCCTGCATCTCTGTCAACATCGACAGTAACTTGAAGAATGAATGAGACTGCTACAGGGGGGAAGAACGTTTAAAGAGAACGTTTTAAAAAAAGTTATTATCAAAGGAACTATTCTGATATTTATTAACTGCTCAGTTTGCTACGTTTTACTAACCTCTGGTGGAAGCTTTTGCACTGAAGACATCAGCAGAGAAATTATCTGCAAAACAACAAAACGAAATGAAAAATCTGTTCGTGAACGTGTGAGATTTCAGCGTCTTTTATTAACGAGTGTCAAAAATATAAAGAGCAATTCTGCTGCTTGAAAACTGCCTGAAGGCCGAGAAACGAACGTGGCCAGGTTATGATTGACATTACGTTGGCATCTGATTGGTTACGGAGGAGGTGCGAGGCTTCTAAATCAATCACAGGGCAACGCGAAGGTTGTTAAGACACGTGCAAATCGCTGACTCACGCTTTCCGCTAGCTTGAGGTTGTATCTGCACAAACTAAAAATCAGGTTGGTTGTGTGGCGGAGGTTAATACTGTCTTTGATGGCATGGAAAAGGAATGGAAATCCCTGAGGAAAAAGAAATAAAATAACATTAGTAATCATCAACTGATAATGAGTCGGTTATGATACGTTGAACAAAGCGTAGAGCTACGAGTTAGTAAACGAACATACCCCTCTCATGTAGGTCTTTCCGAAAAATAACGTCAGTATAAATCAACAGGGATTAACATAGAATATTGCCATACCTTTCCACCTGTTAAAGCAGCCATGTCATTCTCTGAAAGATGCAGTTGCCTGATATAAAGCAAGAAAACATAACGTTATCGCACGAACTTTGAGGTTCAACCTCGTTTCATGAGAAAAGATGGCTGCGGCGAGGAGACTCGAATGATTGAATAAAATGATTGGTTGAGAGAGAGGCGCGAGTTTTCTGGACCAATCACACAGTGAGGTAAAGCAACACCTCAATGAAAACTGCGTTATTATTGAAAACAAGAACAAGAACAAGAACTATGATTCGTTCTCGTGTGTTGTGTCACATGTGACACGCATCTAGCGTCACAAACAGTTTTGCACTGTATCTCATCTAAGGGTATTATGGGATAGATCTCTCCATGTTATTGTCAGAGAAGTTTAATGCCGTTTCACTGGCAAATTTTACTCTAAATAAATCTAGTTTCGCTGCTGAAGAGGGAACTACGTCTCATTTATTGTAAGGAGTGGGGGGGGAAAGAAAACAAAGTCATGTATGAATATATTTTAAATATATTGGTTAATAACTTGGTTAAAATCAAGCCTACCTTTCCCCACGAGACTCCTCGACCAATAGCGCCATAACTGAAATCATCTTCTCCAAGGAACCCATTCGGTATTTATCTTCTGGAAGAATGGTGACCACTTCTTCATCGTCGTCATCATCACCGTCATCATCTTCATCTGTTGTGGAGTCGTTCTGAGAGAAGTAAATGATTCCATTTAGGCAAGACCACATTCACAAGCGAATTTGGGTACCTCGATGTCAGCCCAATTTCTCCTCCACCCCCCCCCCTTCCCCCCAAATCTTCGCCAAACTGAAGGTAAAAGCAAGGGAGGGGGGGGGGGAGAGGACAACTGAGGCCTTGTCCACATATAACCAGGTAAATTTGAAACTGAGCACGACTTTCTTTCCACGGTTAAACTAAACAACTACACTTATGTGAACCAAAAACGGGCTTTCCAAAACGCTCTCAGGTCGTCACTAGTCTTTGCATTTTTTTTTAAAATGTGCACGCCAGAGAATCCCGCCGATGATCGTTGCGTTTTTAAATTCGTCCGGTGAAGAGTGGATGGTAAACATTTCGTTCGTTTTCTGACACGGACGAAAAACTTTTGTTGCATTTCAGATTAAAAACGCCGTTTTAAAAACTATCCGGCGTACGATTGACAGGCCAAATAATCCATATTGAGTCGTTAACTTACTAATTCTGAAGCTTTTGTTCCCAGGTAGAATTCCACCATGACTGTAATGGCGTCTGCTTTCAGAAGAAATTCACGCTGCAAAAAAGAATAACACCACTATAAAACAGATGGTCTATCTATATATTTTTTTAAGTTTTTTTTCCCTTTTCAATTGATTGTCGCGACAAACCGCAGTTAAAACATCTTACTACACCGACAGTCTTCGACAACTCTGAGAATTAATATTAGGGGGAAAATCGGTTGTGATGTTTACGATTCGGATCTGATTAACTCCAAGGATGGCACAACTCTCCCTCACTACGGTATCACTACCGAATCATTTCAAAAAGATAAGGAAAGCTCAAGAAACACTTTCGACACCAAACTAAAAAGTAAACTAAAACACATCGTTCACTCTCGTCGAGTGCATCAAAACTGCCAGCTAAGAGCAAATAAACAGCCATGGTATAATAAAAAGTGGTGAAAGCTCATCAGTTACCCATAAATGCCTTTAAGATGATAAGATGTATTCGATATCTTTTTGGAACTGTTAATTATAACTGTGCATCACTCATGAGTTTCATGAAACGAAGGATCCACGAGTCCATACCTCTTTGCCTCCAAGTACGGCGAACTGATGTATAAACCAAAACACCTCTGAAAGATTCTTCACGTACGCCTTGATATTGTGCTCCAGCTGTACATTAGAAAAGAACATCGTATTTTAGATGGACCCATTCTGACCTCAACTTTTGGTTATGGAAATGAAGTTAATACGCCGCCGAATTCGAAGCTTCAACATCCTCTCCCCTTTCCAGCCAACCCACGGGCATTTGACTGTCCTCCGTTTTAAAGTTTCGTCAATGTGAAGAAAGTCAAGGTCGCTGATTTTGGCTTTTACAAAATAATTGGGTGGGCATTTCAATCGCAATTTTGGCCTCAGGGGGGAGGGGGTGGGATTTAAACAAACTTACCTTCAAAACTTCAAATGCCCGGGGGGTTACCGCGGAAGGGATGTTGAAGTTTCGAATTGATCGACCCATAACCGATTACTTACCAATCTAAAAATAGCTTTCACAAACCCGCTGACAAACACAAAGTGTTCGATCTCTAATTCCTCGTCATCATCATTCCTGAATAGCAACAGGAATTGTTAATATGGATGCAACACTAACACAAACAAGGCAAAAAGGCAAAAATAAAAATAATCTACAGAAAAGAGAAACATGCTTTACAGTTCTTCGATAAAGCTTTATTATTCAGCGCGGATCAAATGTGTTGAAGCAAAAATTGAGCAATATGCAATAATGCTAAGTGCAATATGCAAAACGAAACTAACTTGTCAGTGTGGCCTGCATATAGGGGCCTCAGGATCTTAATCACATCCAAGCAGAGACGAGCCAACATCTGTAAGAGGCAAAAAAAAAATTTCTAATAAAAATAGGAAAAACAGTATTCGTCGTTAGGTAATTTTTACACCGAATTCCCTCTTTGGACAATAGTCCATTTTACAGTTGTGTGCTTGGTTGCCAAGCCTTTGAACAGGAGTGAGGCTAAGGGTGACCTTGTTATGATACAAACCTTGCTGCTTTTGAAATTCAAATTAAGTTGTTATCATGCTAACTAGATTCTGGTCTCTAACACAACAAGGTCACCTTCAGCCTCACTCCAAATCAAAGGCTTGGCAACTAAGTACACAACTGTAAAATGGCCTATTACGCATATTCTGTCGCAAAGATATTTCTTGTAGATCTTTGAGGCAATTGATTCTTCGCAAGGTCGTGGCTTTATTACTACCCAGTAAATTGATTGTTCATATTCATCTCGAAAAAAAAACTTACCTCCTACAACGAATATGAACGGGTAAAAGAAGATTGCAGCATTATTTAACTAACGACTGCAGGTCTTGCATTCGATTCAGGAGGGGTATGAAAGTCGTATAAGGAGTACTTCTCAACGATAAAAAAAAATAATCGAAACAAGTTGTTTGTTTTGTTTTGATTTGTTGTTTTTGTTTTTTTTAACCAAACGATGGGTTCTCTGAAACAAAGCTGGTCGAGAAACTGACTGGAGGAGAAAGGGGGGTGGGGTGGGATCGGTCGGTGTAAGTCCCCCTCAGTTCCTCCAGAAAACCACGTGATCCCCAGGCGATAAATAATACAGTTTTAATGTGACTAACTCAATGTCACTTACATGCCGAACACTTTGTATGGGACACTTAACCAGCACCTGAAGCAACCATTCCTCACTGCTAAGTGTCTCCAGAAACCACTCACAGACATCTGAGGACTGTTCATATTGAGACAGCAATAGGTCGGCCCAGTTCTTGATCAACAGTTTTTCTTTGGCGTGGACGAGTGTTTCCAGCAAGAATGATGTTCCTGGTTAAAAAAAAGTTCTCGTTTCAAAAAAAAAGTTAACTAACCTCCTCGCTCGAGATATTAAGGAGTCTAAGGTGTCACTTCGGCGACGTGTTGTTAAACGTTGCCGAAAAGCGTATTTTATTTTCATTCAAGATTTTCTGACGGTACGACATCTTCACTTCGGCATAACATATGAACGTAGTGAATAAATTGCTGTCTAGGTTTCCTTGCTAAGAGGACAAAAAAGTTGGTGATTTCACGTTTTTTTTCCCCTGAAGGGGATAGCTAAGAAATACAAAAAAAAAAAAAAATGCTAAAGGTCTTAAAACACCCTTGTTTCGCTCTTGTTCTACTGATCAGATCTTTTGTTTCGCTACGTTCTTGTTGCCATCGCCGTCGTGGTTTTCTTAAAGTCCCTATTTCATTAACTTTGACTGGTTGGCGGTGACTTTGTAGTGAAAACTTATTGAGAAACGTAATGTGCCACGGCTGTAGATCAGTTCGAATTGATCTGTTCAGTAAAAAACACTGAGCAGTTATGATTCAGCATCATCAAGTACTTGGCCAACGCCAAAAAAACTGACCCTAATGGTTAAATGTTCCTCATCTCTCCTATTTCTAAGTCACAAGCATAATTACCCAGCTTGACATTGGACAGCATGAGCTCCTTGGAGTCTGGAACGGAAGGTGCAATGCTGCTGCATATAAGCCACATGAAATTGAAGTAAGTCGTGTCGAACACGTGTTTATCGTGCAAGAACTGAATGTTGTCATGCCAGATCCAATCAGCCAGCTCTTGGCTTAGCTCGATGTTTGGCGTCTCAGCCAGTAACTCCTTCTCGTTAGGATCGCACCGTTCGTAGAACAACATGTAGGCACTGTGAGTCTTCTCGAATGAAAAATCCATAAACTTTTCTGTCACTGCATCATAGGTCTTTGTCTGATGAGGAAACGTTTTCCAAATTTAGAGTGGCTATATTTCATTTAAATCAAAATATGTATTTTTTAAGGTGTGATGATGATAGCAACGCCAACAAACTAGATTTACAGTATGTCTACAAACAATGGGTCTACAGTTTATCGATACATCATCATACATCATCATCCTGCTCATTTACTGTACACAATACACTGTTTTTGAATTGCGTTACAAAAAAAAAATATATATATATATAGCTAATATTACCGTCATTTCGCCGCCAAAGCACTCAGCGGCGATCTGTGCCGGATCGAATGGTTTCACTTCTGCGTCGTTGAACAGGAACCACTGATCGCGCCCCTGGGGGGAGGACCGGTCTAATATGAAGCTGTAGTAGTGCCCCCCTTCTGCTGTGCCAGTGTGAACCACAACTCCAATCAACTGATACCAGTAGCTTAGATCGAGCTGAGGGTCTAACGAGGGGAGAGGGAAATCATATTTAAGGTGATTTCACAATGCCTACCGTTGAGTTAAACTAATACGCTTGTTGAGTTGGAGCGACTTTCATCAAAAACATGAAAACAGTCACGTGGACAACAGAGGACACTCCACCTTGATCTTGTTTGTCTCCCATCAAAAATTCCTCGGTGTACGGTGCCATGTTGAGTTGAAGAGGAAAAGAGAAGTGTGTATTAACTTTCTCTTTCATCATAGTCACCATGTTGAACGCATAACGCATTGTGTTGAAACACAGAATCCGCGGAAGAACTTGAAAACATGCCCTACGCAAAACAAATCGTTAATACCGTTAGCTTTTCGAAACATAAGCGATAGAGTAATTTCCGAAACAATCTGTTGAAAATAATCAAGGTTGCTTTGGTTTTGCTCTATTCCGCTCTGCAATTGGTCCTGACAACTCGCGTCACTCTTTCAGCCAATCAGATGCAAAACTGAAACCATTACGACTTGGTTACTCCTGTTTTCCCGCGCTTTACGTAATTAATTCGATTTTTGTCTTCTCATTGGTTCCGTGTGATATTTTCCCTTGTTCAGATTGGCTGTTGTGATAACATTGGGTTTGGTTTTACGACACTAAATCGAAAAGTACCCAACAAGCTTCTCTTCCACACATCATTCACAGTAAATAACAGTTGTTTTGAACTTTTACCATTCAATAATTGGTGTCTTCTTTCACTCATTCCTCCTTAAGATCGCTAGGCTTTCGTTAAGGATACCCTTGGTAAAAATTCATTTCCTTTGCCGCCTGTATTTCACTCACCTTTTCTCTGCCCTGACTTTCTTTCCACACTGTGAGCAAGTGTACATATTATCTCCGTCCAGTGTGTCTTTGATCGTCACTTCGTCCAGTGATTCCTAGACAACAAGATACCACTAAGTGTCGAAAGTAAGTTGAGCCAAAAAACTAGCACCTCTTTGTCTACAAATCAGATTCAAATCTGAGCTCAAAATCTCATTGATAAATATCTCAAGTCAAACTACACATGGTTTAACCACCTCAGTATCACTAATTCATCAAAAGACAGTCTTACATAAAGGCTCTTCATGTCTGCCACAGTGCATCGCACAGAATAAAACTCTTCTCTGGTCTTGCTGACGTGTGAACAGTCCTGCAAATGGAAGAACACCAAATCTTTCAGCAGAAATCCACCGCAAACACTAGGGTATCACATGAAAATATGTACAGTCGTATTAGCCTCGCGAATACGAATGCCATTCGGAACAAGTGTTATACTCATATCACGGTTTTAAAAACTTCTATGCACAAAGTTATCACAATCACAGCAAAACAAGGACCACTCCTTCTTTCTCGATCTTTCAACATGAAAACTATAGCACAAGATTTAATGCGCATGCTGTCCTTCAAATCATTATATAAAGCACCGGAGCTCATGGTTGGTAAGGTTACTTATACCACTACTCTATTATCCAGGCCTGACGGGAAAATTGATTTGAGGTAAATAAGCTTTCTCACCAGTGACACGACATTGTTGCTGATCTCTCCACAGAACAAATCTCTCACTAGGAGTTTCTGCAAAAACAGTACAATAAATACATTAGACGGCCAAGCAATCAATTACACAGCGAGAAGTTTATCAGGATAGTTTCTGCAATAGTCAGTGAAAATTCTCTTCGGACTGTAATCAGAAACGTCCGGTTTGACTGACATGTTCTAAATGATAATAAGCGTCCATAGTACAACACGTTGTGGTACTTACGGGTAACTTCTACTCAAACGGAAAGACAATTTTTTTTATTTCTGTCAGAATGCCACAACAACAAAAACTCTCCAATAACCAGGAAAACAAACACTATATACCAAAGGTAACGGGATGTAAATCTCAAAATGGCAGATATAAAGGCATTTGGCTATTTACAAGCGGGGTCGAGGAGTTGAACTTAGGAATACCCCTATACAAACTCGAATCCATGACCTCCGGATTGCGAGTCTGCCTGTAAGTATCGATAAGTAGGAGCCACAAAATGTTTTAAATTTCGTACCAGTGTTGGTGACATTTCTTCTATTTTGCCGATCAGGTCTGTGAAGAATTCCGTCATGTCCTTCTGCTCTCCAGTGTTAAGAGGCTGTTTGTCCATAGTGTATGTCCGACAGAAGGTTTTGGGGTTGTACGCCTTTCTTTCGCTTGCCTGGAGTGAAAAGGACGCAAACTGGATATTTAGACAGCGTTTAACGCAAAGTTTTACCCTTTATCCCCTAACATCAGTATGCAAATTCTCCATACTGTTCTCCATACATTTCCAAAGAGACGGACAAGGAGAATTTGTTTAACAGTCTTCTAAATTATGCGTTATATTATCAAAAAAAAACTCTCTCCGTACATTCCAACGTATACTTTCTGCAATAATTCGATCTTTCCACAGTAACGCTTCACAGGTCGCCATTCCATCACAACACAGAGGTCAAACGTCGGGCATACGTAAACGGAAGGAGGGAGACCGCGAGTGTTACTTGCCATGAAGGCACAACACAACGATCCATCCCGGGGTAGAAGCTGTAATTTCGATCCGGAGTCATGCTCAAAAAGGTTAGCAATTGGCCCCCGCATCGTCATTATCACTTTACTTCTTCACATTTTCTTGACAGGCACCCATTAAAATTATTTCAATCAAATTCCACTCACCATTAAGAAACAAAACATCCTTTGCATTTCACGCATGAGCACCTCATGTTTAACATCGCTGTTGATCTGTGAAACGATGAGAAGTGTTAGAGCTTCAATGAAGATGACTTAATGCTTTAATTCACTGAGTTGTTCACAGCATGTTCGTACGTCAAACAGATCACTTGTTAACAAACGAAATCTTACGAGATAAGAACTTTATTCTAAATTTTTATACACTGAGCAATTTTCAATTGGGTGTCGAAGGTAATCCGGAATTGCTTCGGCTTTGCTTTACTTCGTCTTGTGATTGATCCAGAAGAGTCACGCCACTTTTTCAAGCAATCAAAATGCAAAACTTAAAATGAATCACGACTTGGTTGCCCGCGTTTTCCTGCGCTGTAGGCAGTTTGGTTTTTGTATTGGGAAATGTATAGAGAATATGCACACCAATGTTAGGGTGTTAGGGATTGATAAAACTCACCCTCGAGTTCAGAATAGCGGCCCTGGCCTGAGGCATCATGTACAGCTGCTGCATGCAGGAGGCCATGTAACACGTGGCTCCTAAATTGATCATTCCAACCAGCCCACAGAGTGAACGGCCATTGTCATGGGGCCAGTAATGCCACCCATAAGAGGAACGTTTTCTACCATCTATGAACAGAAAAAAAATGGATCAAATTACCAGCTGGTGAGTAATCTTACTCGCGCTCAGACTCCCTTGAAGCCGGAGCTTGGTCAGGTTTGTGTAGAATGAAGGGACTGGGAGTATAGCTTCTTTTCCTGAGTGGAATTCTGGTCCATTGCTGGTTATCCCAACATTTCGTCAAACGTCCTTGAGAAATTGCCGGTACCTGTAATGATCAGCGGTATTTCGTGTACACTGAACATGCGCATAGGGATTTGGAGGATGCCGCGTTGAATTTAAAACAACAATCTTTGCGAGTGAAAACAATCTAGTTTCGTTTATCCAACTCTATCGACGTTCCTCGGAAAGAATATAATAGTATCGATTTATACTCTTAGACTTAGGCAGCTTCTAGCAGAGAGAGGGTCTTTCCCCCAACGAGAACAAAACAATAGGACCTGTCGAGGATTTAAACGCAGACCTCTAGAACCAGTCTCGCGCGCTAATCAAAGAGCCTCATCGTCTCCCTATTGCATTTACAAAAAAGAAAAATTCACAGTGCTCTCCACAGGATTTGCTTGACCCTAAGATTTGTAATTTTTTTTTAACCACTGATCTGCAGATGACTTCAAGTCGCAATAAGCTTGGTTCATATGACAAACTTTCTGCTTACGGCTAGGACTTGACTCTGATAGAAAGGAAGAAGGTTATTTTCTAGCCTAGTGATAAAGGAGCTCTTACCAGAGCTGTGATGTTTCATCAACAGTTTTTGGATTTCAAGGAAGTTGTCTTGGCAGCCTCGAGCCATCTCGAGAAGAAGATCAAAGGCTGCACTCCTGGCCGGCTTTAATGCAAATAGAGAATTAGTTAAGACGTGGACCCTGCTGGAATGTTGTAGGAACAAAACTTGTCTCCCAATTGTGGCTATACTTTTCTGCTAGAGGAACAGTCACCACTGTACCAAAAGGTAGTCCGCCCGTATTCAATTTCCCGACAAAAACCAATTCCCAACTAACTGTCAAACACAAGGCTGGAATTTCTTATCTTAGACACATGTTGGTGAGCGTGATGCTTATAAACCAGTAACGATTTACTCGTAAAATGATCCTAGAATGTAATTTGATTCGCCCAGGCACATGATCAGCACATAATTTAACGCACATTTAGTGTCCAATGACTGCGAGGGCAATGTTGTGCGAAAGAAATCACCTTGACACACAGCTTCACTTTAATCGTCGCAAACGTCAGTACTGTTGTAAAGTACTGCATTGCATCTTTACCTTAGATTTGCAGAGTGGCAAGTCCCTCTCATCACAACAATCTTCTGGTAGAGAAAACAGACAAGAGTGGAACACGTCTCGCAGAAACTCCTGAAAACCAAAAGCATAAGTAATTCAAACGATCAGGCGACTTCGAAAGTTGACGATAATATCATCTCCAATTTAAAAAACCTAGCTTCAAACTCAAGAAATGCAAAAACAAACAAACTAACAATCAAATGAAAGAATAAAAAAACCAGGAAAGACCCCATAAACAAGCACACAACTTCATTTTGAAAACAAAATGTCGTAGAAATTCATTTTTTTTCTCGTGGGGCAAAATTTGGCCATTTGGAACCGCTGTTATGAGCAATCGTGATAGAGAAAAGACAAATAAATAAATACTAAATGAACAAATAAAGAAATCATATAGAAATAAATAGAACAAACAAATCAAAAGTAATGAATCATCTAAAAATCACTTACCAAACCATCAGTCGACATCTTGAACGAGGGGTCATGTCTCATAACAGCAGTGCACAGTTTCAACATTCCACTAAGACCTTCATTTTCATGGCTGCCATACTTCTGCTTAGTGCGCGGTTGACTATGAAAAGAAGGCAGAGAAAAATCAGAGCATAAAATGAGTCTGATTATATTGTGCGAGGGAAGGGGAGAGGGAGGAGGTACTTTTATAGGACTTAAATACAGTATTTGAGTGTTAACTCATTCACCACTGAGTGACCAAACACTGATTTCTCTTTACAGTACTAACTCTACATCATTGATTAAGGTCATGAGAAGAAGGAAAATGATCTCAACAGTAGAAGCTCTTGATTGTTCAACAAGTTCTCCTTCTTGGTATCACAGGAAAGGTAAGGAGAAAAGTATGGAGAATATGCAGACTAATACTAAGGAGTAAAGGGATAAGTCCCAAACAGGGTCCACAATTTTACCACCAAACGTCTTAGACAGCTATCTCATTGGACCGTAGGTCTTGTCTAATGTTTGACACGACAGTGCGCTGTTTACAAAGGTGACACAACGAACTGTCTCTCGAACCATTCTGTCTCTATATGCTACACTTTTCTCGAGCAAGATGCCAAGTTTTTTTTCTAACAGAACGTCGGGGTTTGAAGCCTTCGGGAACCCAATCATACAAGATTACGACGTTTTCCGTACTTACCAGTCTCGTATGTATTTGGCTAGCAGTTTAGCCAAGGAGTCCAAGTCAACCTCATCGCCCTAGTGAAAATTGACAGCGTGGAAAACTAAGTGCATTTTCTCTATCATATTAGAACTGAAGTAACGACACATGAAGACATCGTTACCTTAAGTACATTGTCCCCTTTAAAATTTTGACACAAGTTTTACCTCTCCTCTGGTATGCAAAGAGGCGCGAGGCGAACGTGCGATAGCCAAACTTTAATTCGATTGTATCATTACATTTCTCTTTTCTTTTTTTTACCTTCATCGAGGCAAATTGGAGTTAACACTTGCATACCTTTGCCTCTCCTATAGTATGCAAAGAGGCGCGAGGCCAACGTGCGGCAACGAAACTTTTCTTTAATTATATCATACATTTCTCTTTTTCCTTATTTGCCTTTTTCGTAGCATGTTAATGGCAAAACTTACACACAGGTACCTTTGTTTCCCGGAGTGTCTAGACGTGAAAATAAATACATGCTTACCTTTTGACCGTCTTCCACAGTGGGGAGGCCATCCACGAGTCGACACAAAATAGAAAAGTACTCCCGGGCACTGGGCTCTTGTCGCCGTCCGTGGGGATTTTCTCTCGATTGAAGAGATTGCGCCAGCGGCAGTGAGTCAAGCAATGCATCCATCAGCTGCGTAAGGCAGGAGTTCTCTTTGATTAGGCTTAGTCTGTAAAGTCCACGGCACGCTTCAAATCGTACACTGGGCTGAGAATTGCAAAAAAATAAAAAATAAAGAAAAAATAATGACCTAATTAATTTGTGTTAAATAATGAAATCTCACTGATTCGCTGAAGTGAACTACTGGCCTACTGGGGATGACCGTGATACTTTCAACACTCCATACCCTAACCTTCACGTGGCCCTTTGCAACATTATATGAGCTTGGGTGAATCGCAGGAGGGGTAAGGAAGGCAAGCTGAGTGAGGGAAGCTCTAAATATAATTATTACCCGGTTCAGATCGGGCAATTCGTTTAAGTGTTTCTGGGACACTCCAAAAAAGGAAAAAGACATGAAATACCAAAAAAAGAATACACATCATACACCGTTTCTTTTTTCGAATCAATATTTTCTTCTGACAACACAAGGCAAAACCTGAACTTTACCTCTTTAGCTAAAAGCACCAGCTGCTGAAGCCAAGGTTTGAAGTTACTTTGCTGAAGAAGGGAGCTCCTGACAGTACCATCAGTGAAGGCCGCAGACACAAGCAATGATACAGCGTGACGAACCACTGGACGAGAAAGACAACAAATATAAGAAATTAAAACCATCTTGTTGACTAAGATCGGTAGGCTAACATGTTCAAAATGACAATGATTATGTCAACTTCCGATAAACATACTCATTGGTAAGTTGATATTCGGAAGAAAAAATACGTTTCACTCTTCTGTGCAAACTTCCATCACTGCCGGCAAACTTTGCGCTACTACCTAGTCTTGTTTTTCAATCTCCGTATTCAATCATCTGGTGTGATCGTCCCGGTAAGCAAGCCCCCTAACGGACTCCTGTCGTTGACAGCTTCTGGTCAGTTTATTGAGATGACAGACAATGTCACCAATAATAGTCAGTGGTGGATCCAGGGGAAGGAATCGAGGGTCCCCCTCCACCTTTTACACTTGTGGGTAGTTTTATTACATGTCTAAGACGAGGTTTCTTTCAAAGAAAGGATCACATAATACTTCTAAATTCGAGGTAACTAAAATTTTCTCATCTATAATATTTCTTAACTTAATTAGGCTCTAGCGTGACAAAAAAAAGTAAAAAAAAAGAGAAAGATTGTTTCTCTGAATAAAAATTTGAAACCCCCCACCCTCCATGCATCGAAAAAATCCTGAATACCCCCTGACTGACAGTCACATTCAGGACTGCCTCACCCCGGATGATCACACCACACGATCCATATATGTAATAATGATGCAATAGACGTTAAATCGAGGCTTCTTCATTCTAATGGTTATCCTCAATCCTCTTCGCCAATTCGTCAATTTTTACTTAGCTATTACGTCATAAGCTTTAAAAAGTGGGCGTATATAGATGCTATAAGCGGCCGTCTTTCAGAGGTGCTAGTTTCAGCTTTACAGAGCTTGCACACGTGTTTTTAGTAAATTAAGTCTAAGTTACCCTTGGCTATTAAGAGTGCAAGCAAGCGCGAACCGATGTTTTACGTTCGATTATCGTCAATAAATAATCGTTAATCACAGCTGATTTCAAGTTCAACGCGGCAAGTTGTTGATAAGTGACCTCTAACTCTTCGAAAATCGCCGCGAACCTGGCATTACAAATGACATCATCTGGCATTGAGCCGTAAGTATGGGGAAATTGTCAATTGCAAAAAGGGAAAAATTGCAAGTGGTAAATGGAACCCAACCTGCCCACAATGAAACTTACCGTCCCCTCCACTGGCTCTGTTTTGGCCCCCGTGGATTGGTAAAGTTGCCTGATGAGAAATGTGTAGTAATTTCTCCAGTAATGAGTTAACATCAACAATAGACATAAGATTAGAGGACAAACACTTGATGCAGATCACCTCCTCTTTGTCAGTACTCTTGTATCGTACGCGGAACTGTCCGTCTCTTTTCTGAATCTGTGACTTACTAGCGATACTTTCTGTCGACGCAAACACCTCATCGTCATCCTCATTACTTCGCTTCATTGTCCCAAACTCACAAATCAGTTTCAACAAATGTGCAAGACATTCTTGCCTCCATTGCGTCCATAAGCAGTTCCCACTGACCTCCAAGCAACCAGACATAAGAATTGAGAACAAGTGACCTAGTCCTCCATACTCAATAAACTGCAGTCCCCACGAAGCTATCTGCACTTGTGAGGTTGCCGTTTCCTTTTCCTCCTCGTTGTCAGAGATGTCTGAATCACTGCTCAGACGTGAATAAGTGGGAGAAAACTGCGTTTGTGATTCCTTTGAAGAATTATGGATTAAGTCTATCACTTGAAGAGAATAAAGAAGTTTATGAGGGAAGTTTGGATCCAATAACGAATCCCAAAGTTTCTTCTCCGGTTGAGCTTTTTCTGCTCTTTGCTCTTCGTCACTCTTGGTGTCTCTTCGCTTGGGATCTTGGTGTAAAACTCGACCAAAATACTTGAGCTTATTAAGAATGGATTGATTAGTTGGTAAAAGAAACAAGAGCTCCCAAGTTATACTGCATAAAAATTCAACACGGCTTTCCATCAGTGGTAGCAGTGGAGGTTTCCCTTGGTTTTCAGACCCACTGTCCATTTCCTCACACTCATCGTGTGCCTTGTTGGCTTCCACTATTTTCTTGGATACAGGGGACAATTGTGAAGAATCGCTTAAAGGACTTTCAGAAGAGCTGCTCTTGGAGCCAATAAAGCCGTCTAAGGCTTCTAAGAATAAAAAAAGTTGATCAAAGTATTTTTCATGAAGTAGAATTATCATGGGTGTGGAATTCCATTCCGGCGATGGTAAAGAAGACGAAGGAATGTAACCACTGTCATGATGTCTGTCTCTTCTAACAGCTCCAACAGATACAAAGACAAGCTGCGAAACGGATGAAACAGTACTCAGTTAAACACTGATGCGTTTGAAGACATTCAGCAAAAAAAAAAAAAAATCGCACAAATCGCTACAGGTGCATTTGTGAGTGTAGGTATGTGTGTGTGGGTGGAGGGGGGGGGGTTTCGTGTCGTGTCGTGTGAGGAGGAGGGGAGGGGTTGTAGCCATAGTCCTAGCCACTTCCTTGCGACCATCTTTACTTTGACACTAAAAAGAAAGAAAGAAAAAAAATACAGTCGAATCACAAGACTTTCCACTGCACCTGCAAATCTTTAAAGCCAACTTCTGCAAGGCTCTTTTCATCCAAGTCGGGCGTCAGTTCATGCCCCTGGGATATGAGTCTGAAGGGGGGATGTAACTGAGAGGAGAAGGGAGATAGGGGCGTGTGCTGAGAAGAGCCGTCGACAAGCTGAGTGTCTTTCTTTAACTTGTCCTGGAGCTGTCGGCACCAAAATGTCACCTCTGCTCGAAGGTCCGCAACAAGGTCTGATGAGTTCATCTCGAAGGTACCCTAAATGTTATCACGAAAAATAATCGAATGAGAGGTACGTAATAAGTGACATTGACCGATACTGCGTTTCGCAACTGTAATGTCACGAACAAATGACCAACGGGTACAGTGCTTTACACTTCCACCGTAGTAAAAACTGGCAAAAAATGTCCCTTTTCGCGATACCAAGTTGCCAATAACTTACGAGGTATCAAAGCCGGCTGGTAGAATTATTTTGGCATGCACTGAAGAGAGGCCCTTCTTACCTGCTCTAGTAGTCAGTAATGTTATAATGATAATTAAACTCTGACATCAGTTTTAATGGAGAGTAGAATCGACGTTAGCCTTTCATGAGCATTTATTTCATACGAGTTCAGACTAGGGTTCGAGCTTTTGGTGCTTCGTCAAAAACTGTGTTATTAGGGTTCGAGTTTTTGGTGCTTCGTCAAAAACTGTGTTATTAGGATTCGAGTTTTTGGTGCTTCGTCAAAAACTTTGTCATAGAGCCTCCTTTATTGTCTTTTCATACTTAAAAGCTTACACAGTGCGTTTAAACCTTGCATTACCTTATCTGAGAGGCCAGCAGGTTGACAAAGAACTCGGATGGGGTAATGTTTCTCTGTAGGCCTCTGAGTGATCTGTTGATGGCAAGTGATGCCTCTTCCTTCCAGCCACCACAAACGTAAATGAAATGCAAACCTGCAAGAAAAAGAAAAAAAAAAAAAAAAAAAAAAAGAACTTTCAAAACAGTTATCCAACCAATAAATCGAAAGTGGCTGGGGTTAGGGCCTCAGATCTTTCTCCCTGTGCCTCGCGCTGATAACGAAAAAAAAACACTTAGCACCTTTCTTTTATGGCAATTTTCAATTGAGTGTCAAAAAGTAATCTGGGATTGCTCTGACTTTCCTTTATTTCGCTCTATGATTGGTCCAAAAGACTCGCGCCATTCTCGCAACCAATCAGATGCAAAACTGAAAACAATCACGGCTTGGTCGCCCGCGCTTTCCCACGCTTTAGGCGGTTCGGTTGGTTTTTACTGTGAGTTCTATTGTCTTTTTTAATGCATCGTAGAGAAAAGAATATTAAACTGGACCTAAAAAATTATTTGACGGTCAGATAAGCATTTAAAAAAATAATAATTACTCAAAGAATTTTATTAAGAAGAGTTTTCAGTTAGAAACGTTAAAGCTACAGAAGCAGCTTCTACCACTCTGCTAAACAAACCTTCGTTTAAAGCTTTCAATGTGACTCTTTAATAAAAGCAAACCCCTCTCCATTATCTGAAGGTTCTGTTCCTGTAATAAAAAGTTGAGCATATCCATCACAACTGAAACTTTTGAACATGTAAATACATAAATATATGAATAAATGGGACAAAAGCTACTCTACCTGATTCAACTGTTTCGAAGCTCCCCCAATGATATTCATACACCTCTGAATGAACTCATCTTCAAACTTCAAAGCACCTCCATTTGCTGAAGTAGTGAGTATTATAATAAATACCATTAAAAACAGTCTTTAAGGTTGCTGTAAATCACTTCAATACCATAGTCCTAGCTAAAATAGTTCATCTCGCAATATGAATCGCTTTTCCCTATACTAACAGTACCACCTACAATACCGGCAGGCGTGAACCGCACAGGCGCGGTCATACCCGCACGGTTCACGAATGAAGCACGACACGAAAACATGCGAATTTCTATATGGAATAAGAGAGATGGTAAGTTTTGAGCTCGGTAGAGAAATAGAGAAAGAAAAACTTCTGAGTCCCCATGAGGAATCGAACCTCAGACCTTCGAATTCCGCGCTCCGATGCTCTACCACTAAGTCACAGAAGACTCTTCGGTGAGCAAGGTCTATTACGAAGTTCATATTACACGCGTCCTGCATACTACTAGGATCAGCAATGTCGATAGCGTCATGTTTGTAAATAGAATAAGATTCCATTTACTTATTATATTTACGAATATGACGCTATACACCTTAGATCTTACGTTGAAATCCATGTACATCAAAAGTTACCGCCAGCCGCCACAAGGCGGAAAAAGAGTTTAGCCCAGCAGAAATTCTGAGTTTTTCGTTTTCTGTAGGAGCAAAACCTCCCCTCTTTTCAGAGATTGTGTCTGAAAATATATCAATTCTTACATGCAATGCTCAAATTCAAACAGAAATATCTAGTACTGCACATTTACAAATATTAGAGAAAAATGGATGTATGCTTACCATTTATGTACAGAGAGTTCAGGTATGTAATAGCCGCCCAGCTAACCTCTGAGGATCTTACTTGTACAGCTATATTCCATAGCTGGTCTATACCGCACAACTAAAAGGGATATAAATATTCTTCCATGAAATAATGAACACTTCAGGTAATTCTACTTTTGATATCATTGAAATAAAAATTGGAAACTTTTGGCATGGATAAGAATATTCATTAACATGCCGCCATATGTATAGTGCTGCTCCAAGGTAAGTTCCTCGATTCTCGAAGTGTTCGAGAATCGAGGCACGAGTCGAGGAATCAAAGGAATATTCGCGCGATTCATTTTTTTTTTCAACAGGACTTGAAGCTTCTTACATTTTGCCGTATTCATGAGTCACGCGGCTGAACTTCGCCCGGACCCAGCGTGATGTTTATGACCATAACCTCGCGAATTATTTTAATTATTACTGAATGCGTGAGCCTCTTCGTTATCTCTCGCCCACTTCGTTTCAGCTTTTAGTGAAAGGAGAGCAAATTACTAAAAACTGCCAGAAATGATAGTAACAGTCTAATGGTGTTTCATGCTTAACCCTTCAACTCCCAAGATCTCATTAGTAATTCTCCACACTGTCAGCCAAACGATTCTCATCATGTTAGTTTGAGAATTTAGTATCAGAGCAATTAGTAATTCCATAATTGACATTTTTCTTTATTCTCATCACTTGTCTGCATGATATTGTATTGATATATTAAGGAGAAATTCTGTCTTGGTCACTCATGGGAGTTAAAGGGTTAAATGACCTTACGCGTAACACCGTACTACCTTTGAAGGATCACAAGGTTTCACGTCCGCGTGTTTGAACATCTTGTAGAGTTGCTGCAGAAGGTGTAGGCCTGTCATGGAGAACTTCTCAGCTGGCAGAGAAGGCAACTGGGAAAGATTAGCATTGCAAATTCATTAGTGCTGCAGATCCTTGATACAACATACTTTTTCTTTACATAGTAATTATATCAGAGGCGTTACCTTCTCAGCCAAAATGTACTGCAATGCAGAAACATCCAGAGCATGAAACTCTTTACTTTGTGCTTGTTGCAAAAACCACTCCAGTGTATCATCGGAACTCTCTGAATCACACACCAGACAATCCCACAGCACATCCACTTGACCGGCACTCAATTCTGAAACAGAGTAAGGAAAGATTCCTTCATTAAGTATCCACTGGAAAAAAATGGTGCCCTCATGGCAAGCGTGCTGACCTCGGTTGATCGAAGGGTGGATAACGATACCCATTGGATAAATCTGATGCGTAGCATAGTGCGCTTCGTTGACGCTTATCTGCTGGATAGCGATCTATCCGTTGGATAGCATTATTCAGGCTTTGAACAACTGGGGTCAAGACTGTGTCACGTCATTGTGCTTTATTGTTGACACAGATAGGTTGTGGTACTCCACTCTCATTATGTATATCTCTACACACAGGAGCTGACAAGATGCTTGGGGGAAGGGGGGAGGGGAAGAGGTGCATGAGTAACTACCATTGTTTTTTTTGATTTCATAACAAAGTGCAGTAAAGAGACCAAACAGATGGAAATGGCAACAGCCTCTTGTAAAACAAACCACAAAACTAACACTCAAAAAAAAAAGAAGCAGAGCGCTGAGAAGTGCAGACAAAAGTTCTACTAGAGTTATGACTGCAGCCATTATCCAAAACCCATTCCAGATAATTGCACCTTGGCTGTATGCTATAATAATTACCCCTTTAACTCCCAAGATCTCGTTAGTAATTCTCCTTACTGTCTGCCATACAGCTCTTGTGATGTTAGTTTGGAGAAATTGCTATTGGATCAACTAATAATCCCCTAATTGATATTTTTTTAATTCTCATCACTTGTCTGCTGGAAATTGTATTGATATTGTAAGGAGAAATTCTGTCTTGGTCACTTGTGGGAGTTAAAGGGTTAAGTGTAAACGAACAACATTTCCAGCTTACTAAAATCCTGGGGTGACAGCTCACAAGAGAACACAGATGACAAAAACTGCAGTCTAGCTTGCACCTCTTCCACTGAACTGTACAATGAACTGTTGGTGATATCACCCTTGGCGACACTTTCTTCATACTGAATAATATTGTTAAAAAACAGCTCCATCATGTTGAGTTCTTTACTGGCCCATGTTGTCACCCAGTGAGGCCCTTGATCACTGGATGCAAACTGCTGGAATGAGCTGAACAATTTGGGCAACAGCTGAATTGACATCACAACAGACCTGGGGAAAAGTAAAAAAGTCAGCGTTGTAACATATATAGTACACCTTAGAGGCAATCCAAAGCAGTCTTAGAGGCGCGCCGTCCAAGATGAACTGAACAAGAATAACATCACCAAGGGAGAGGCAAAAGGAAGTGCCCAAAACAGGGTCCAATTAAGATCCACGGTCAACTCCCTATGCTTCCCAGCAGGAGCGAAGATGGATTAATGAAATCTAAGCTATTTGATAGTTTTACATAAGGTAAACGCAGACCACTTGCAAAATATCCAGTATCAAATACATATAAATATTCTTTTTGCGTGAAAAATCGTAAACTTAGCAAAAGCACCAAAAGAAACACAAATTTTAGACAGTCAACATCACAAATGTAATTCCAGAAATAATCAACTACCTGTTGGCGGCCAAATTAGCCACACATCCCTCGATAAACTTCATCCTGATTTTTTTCTCGCCAGTGTAACATATCAACTGACACAGAAGCTTTTCGGCCTCCTGGACCAATCCATCAGAAAGGTGAATCTAAACACATTGAAAAATTAACGTTTTGATTTGATAGTAAAAGTTTACAAAATTACTTGTGGGAAAAAAAAAATTTTGTGGCTAGTATGACGCGGCTTTTCATCTCGGCCAAGACACTCACGTACTTTTTGGAAATTTCCAACATACTCGGTGAGCACTGCGTGAGGTTGCTTAAAATTTCCCAAAAGTCTCTTGGCCGCGTGAAAACAGCAAAGATGTATTTTTTCCAATAGTTTTAAATATCGTTAGTAATGCCATAACAAAAGATAAAGTTACTACTTACAGCATTATCGTCTTGAATAAGATCCCAAAGTAGTGTCTTTCCTTGCTCACACACAGTGTTCAAATCAAATCCTAAGCTCCTCTGTCGCTCCTCTCCCCCCTCCTGCATGACACGTAGAGCTGCCACCGTCTTAAGCTGTGTCAGTTCATCTTGGACTCCCTCCGCATCAAAATCATCCAGGTCACGCCTATCTGACAGAGAGCTACCTCGGCTGTTTGTGCAGCTGGTGCTGTCGATGTCTGCATCTTCTCCACCTGTCTTATCTTGGCTAGAATAATCTTCAGCTTGGCCTGCGTAGGTCTGCCTAAGTTCAGGGGGGTGAGTGATCTCTTCTGTTTCCATGTCAGCACTCCCCTTAGAGGAAAGACTACAACAACAGAATACAGTCAAACCTTGACTATCCGGACCTCGATTATCTGCATTTTTTGAATACCGTATTCGGAATTGCTTCTCTCGTCCCGTTTATTTTGAATAATGATTTCTAACAATTAAGAGCTGTAACAACTTACTTCCACCAAACAAAGCACACGGCATTAATATCCCGATGGAAATGAATTTGTTACGCTTTCTGAGGCTGTTAAATGTTATAGGAAGTGTTTCACATAGATGGAAAGACAAAGCGAAGTTGACACTATACCACAAATGAAGTTTCAAGAATGATAAAAATTAGCAACACGCAAGCGCAGTAGCAGCTTGAAACAAACTGATTTACGTCTGCACTAATTTTTAAAGGTCGACTTTAAACGTTGTTGGTTAGCTTAAATAACTTTTTGTACCTACTTTTGGAAAATGTTTAAAATGATCTACAATGATTTGAGAAAGTGCTTATGCTCATTGTGTATTCAGTTCTAATTTAGGCTAATTAATATTCACATTATCAATAATCCGGACTCTCTTTTCAGCTCAGTTCTCATAGGTACGGATAATCCAAGTTCGACTGAATATATAACTGTAATAGCAAGTAGGTTACAACAATATAGGTTACATCCATACGATTTTCAAGAACAAATATTCAGGCACAATAGTTTTTGTTTGGTTGTGTTACTATTTTCCGACTCATCCCTCCATCATTTTCCCTTCATCAAGCTCCATTGAAATAAAAAGAAATTGTACACCAATGCAGCACCAGATTGCATACCGCGTATATTTTTGACGACCATGAGTCAGTGATTCTTCCATGTCAAGCTGTTCACCATCGCAACTTATATCACTCAGGCTGCCACTCCTGCTACTACTCTGGCTAAGACTTGCTGTTCGACTGAATTTCCTCTGCATGGCTGATGCTACCGCTGCACTGGTGCTCCCTTGGAATTCATTTTAAGAATAAAATATTAATCCCTAATCAACTCTTAAGGTCTAATTGGTAACACTTAACAACTGGTATATGCCTCCAACAACAAGTTGGTGGCTTCCCAATTCTAATATTTTCGATTTGGTAGCAGTTCGCCTTGAACAACAAGTCAGTGGATTCCCAATTATGAGATTCTCATTGAAGTAGCTGCCCTTTTGTTGTTGTGTAAAGGACATTTTAACTACATCCTCCCTCCCTCGGCTTGAAGCTGGGAACATATCTCCCCTGTGACATGTGCCAATCTGTTTGCTTTCTGCTTTTGTTATCCAGAGCCTTGCTAACACTGACCCTAAATATTTAACTTTTTCAATTGAAAAGTTGTGATTGATGAAGTGGTCTAGTGACGAAAGTTCTAGAAATCAGAACGAAAGTTTTAAGTTTAAGAGTCCTAACAACTACATAACAGTTGCCTCCTTTGTGAAAACAGCCAGACCCTCCTTTGCAACAAACCAAAAAACCAATAAAAAACAACAACAACAACAAAAAACCTGAATGAAAAATGAGAAAGTTACTACTACATTACTCACCAGCAGTCAATGGTCCATGCACAGGGCTGTTCGTGTGCACGGCTGTACCAGACTCTGCCACTGCAGGAGACAAGCCTGCTCTCCAGACAATTCTAATCAGAACAAGTGCAAGGTAGAGGGTCTGTCGGGTGTGAGCTGCTGGTGGTAGCTTTGAGACCAAGTCCAGCAGGTACAAGATAGAGGGCATATCCATATGTTTTGTTAGCACAGTCAGAAGATCATGAACATATCGGCTGGCATGTTTGAGCTGAAATTAAAGCAGAGGTCAGTCAGCAGGAAAGTGTCTTATAGTTCCCCTCATGCTACCAAAGTATCATCAGAATTAACCGATTGTCCGTTGGGAAACAAAAAGAAAAAAAACCATTCCAACAATATTGAACTGTGGCAACCAGTGCTTAGGGCCAAAGCGAGCTAAGACAACAAATGATATATATGGATTTCAACATGAATGCTGTAAATGCAATATGTACCTGTGCTGCAAGCCAAATGCAGTCCAAGTGAGAGGTAGTCAGGCACGTCTCCCGAGCCAAATAATTCAGTATGATCTGAGACTGTTTAAGAAGCTACAAAATATAGAAACAAGTCATTTTAACAGTAAGATCAAACGCGCCTTTACTAACTGTTGAATTTCTCACAAGGCAAAACAAAAAAAGGAAGATGGCTGAGAACATAAAATTTATTATCACATCAAAGAGGACAGAGATTACACTTGCATCATCTACAATAGCAGTTCAATAATATTACGAATTTTGGGGGAATGGCAAGGAAGCCCGATTGACGCTAGTAGCTTGTCTAGATGTCGAAATGACTGGGCAAACATTGATACCAAGAAAAATTATTATTCTTGTTAGAGAAATGAAACTTGGTTTACACGAGACGTTTAGCTCCAAAAGGGAATATCTGTGAGCTACATTACTCTCTGTGTCTAGTTTCCTTTTTTTTTCCATTCATAAAAAAGAAGTGATTTCCTCTGCTTAACAAGAATCACCTCAACATGTAAATTTGGACCAAACAAGTGTTCCACAAGTTTGTTCTCAATCAGCCACTGGGATAACTCTGTACATAAGCTGTTGGATCAAAATAACGAGAGCATTATTATTTTTTTAAATTACTTTAAGAAAAATTACTGTCGCTTAACATTTTGAATACCCCACCTGACAAGACCAATCAGAGAGAAAATTAAGCTCAACCCCTAAAAATACCACTTTAAATTTGATATTTTGGGAAAATAAAGTTCAATTGGCAACTCGTGTTATTTCCTTACACACAACCTTGCTAACACACCCCGATATACTGTAAATAAACATTTGATATGTGGAATTTTATTTTTCCTGAACAGCCTAACCAGCCAGTATTTGTGATTAACACACCTGGGCAAGATAACAAAAACTTACCTCTTTCTTATATAGCCTGCAGGAGAGGCGTCTTATTAGGGCGAGTTAACGTTAAGAAGCTCGCGAGTGTTAATTCAACCGGCCATGTTTGATTTGAAGATGGAGGCAGCAGAGGGGGAGGGGGCGGGGAAAGATAAAAATATTCATTCTCCCACCCCTCTCCTTATTTTTGACCATCGCTCACCCAATTCTCTCCCCAGCCTTCCACTGCCATTAAAATCAAAGATGGCGGCCATAATTTTCACTAAGAAAATACTGAACACCTGCTGTCCAAAATTACGCCAGCTCTGTAGGCTACCTTATATGGGAAGGCCCACCCTTTCCTATTAGGAGCAGGTAGATTGTATCAAAATAACATCCCAGAACAGATTACATGTTTCCCTATGGAAGTTGAACCAGTTAGGATCAGAAATTATAGAAAAAAGAACTTTAATTATGTGTACATACCATTGCCTATCTATTTCTGAAGCTGGATCAGTTTGGAAGAGATCCATGAACATGTGAACCTGATTCTGAGAAAAAGATGATCAGCTCAATGTAATAAACAAGAACAGGTCAGCTGCTATCAAACACAAAATACAATGAATTGTTAAAATTAATAACAACAAAATGAAACTTGGCCACAATGCGGATGACTTAAAGATTAACATTTTCTGCCTTATCAGGAAGTCTAATCAAAATTAGCTTCTGCAGGCAAGTGCTATGCATGTCAGAAATTTGCCAACATGGAAACAGAGAAAAAAATCCCTTCTAAACAACATTGTTAGATGCACTTTTCTCCTTGGTAATTGCAAAAATATCAGGGTACTATGTGGTGAAATGATTATGCACATGCAGTTCTTGAAGTCACTGTTGGCAAAGCATGTTTACTCATGAGAGAAAGTCTTCATCTTTCCTTAATTTTATACTCAATTTC